TACCTGTTGGAACATATGACAAAGACTCTGAGTTCAGTTTAATGAAACTTTACAAAGCACTTCATGATGGTCAAGAGATTGCATTCGACTTATGTAAGTCATGTCAACCTTGCTTTGCTGAAAAGTTCAACTTTTCAATAACGACTAAAACAAGCTTTATTCGTAAGTTGAAGTTCTGAGGTCATTTATTTTTGTCAGCAATGAGGTCATTCGTGATAAAAATAAAGCTAGCGTAGATTTTACAATACTGCGATGGTAGAGTTTAAGAGTTGTGCTTCAATGTAGAGACAGTCCTTCCCATCTGGAGGCAAGAACACTGGACATTTATGGTCATGAGTGGAGTACATGTCTATCCAAAACTCACGATTGAAGCCAGTTAATTTATAGTATTTAGGGTTAGGAAGTGGTGAAGTTCTTGTATGACCAATGAACTCATTTTCAACGCCTTTGGCTATATTAGAGTAAAGTATTGCTTGCTTTCTATCCCAAATGCCAGGTGTTACAATCTTTGAAAATTCATTTTTCCTCGGAAGCATTGCATCATAATTGAAAACATTCTTAAAATCATCACTTGGTTCGGAGATTTGAAATCTTATACGTAATGGATTTTCTTTCTTTTTAGCGACTTCATTGAATGGTGAGAATACAATGAATTGACAGTCATGAGTTCCATCTTCATTTTCATTAAATTCATAATGAAAGTCTATAAGTTGTGGCTGACTACCTTCTTCTTTCAGTTGTGCAAGAAACTCACGTAAAGGCTGTAAAGTTTGTACTTCAATGTTGAACTTTTTCTCGAACATCTCATTAAATGAAATCATACATTGTTGCAATGTTGTATCGTCTTTAAAGTATTTGTATATGTGAATGTTTTGGGCGCTTAAAGACTGTTCGTCATTTTCTATCTCGACTTGAAGTATAAAGTCAACCTTTCTGAAAGCACGTGTTATATACATAGATGTTATGCCAATGTACTTCTCTTCATTTATGTTCACAATCCAGTCTGTTGGAAACTTAAACGTTACTCTGTTCCCCTTTATTTTGACGTCAGGGTTTTCACTACTGAACGCAACAGTTAAAGGTATTTGTCTATACATTTAATTCGGATAAAAATAAACCATTTACTCTTTCTTTGCTTCAGCTTCTTTAGCTTTTGCTTCTTCTCTAGCTTTTTTCGCCAGCAAACGTGGGTTCTTCTGTCTTCCAGCAGCTAATGCAGCTAGTTGTTTTTCACTAAGTTTTCTCTTTGGTCTCTCTGGCTTTTGTTCTTGTTTTTGTTCCTTCAGTTCGGATAAAATTTGCTCGCGAATTTCTTTCTTCAATGCTTCAACATCTATGACCCTTGGGTCTTGTCCGTAGGGCTTGTCTGAGTCATTTGACTGCAGATAAAAAACAAAATTAAAACTTTAACCGATGTAAAATGAGCTTGTCAAAATCAGAGCGAGAGTCTATTATATTAAATGACGCAAGAGGAATACAACATCCTTTCTATTACGTAAGTCAGAGTAAAGATGGTAAAATATACGTAAGAAAAAGAAAGGTTCCATTAGCGAATGCAGAGAGCGACAACATTAAGGTGCATGGCAAGGGTGAAGTCCACGAAGCCCATATAAAACCTTCTGTTCAAACTGAAAAGTCAATAGAACAGAAGAAAAGAAGCCAGATGTACTTTCAATAACGAACCAAGAGCTTATTGCAAAGTTCGTGAATTTCATTGAAAAACAAACCGAGTCAAAGAACCCTGACCCGCCAGTGAAAGAAGTTGAGACAAAAGAGAATGTACAGTTCATTGAAAATGTCAAGAAACAACTTCCACCACGAATACCAAGAAGAAGAGTGAGAATAATGAAGTAAATAGATATTTTTATCTGAAGTAAATACATGCAGAACGAACAGCTAAACGAATTTACTCCAGCAGAGCATATTCATCAGATTCGCTCATATTTCGATATCATAGACAATGCAGTTCAAATTGGTGACACTAATAGAAAATATTCTGACGCAAAGATTCCATCACAACCTGGAACTGCTAAAGATAACACATGGGTAACATTCAATCTCTCACCTCCTGGTGAAAATATGTTGGACCTTTACAATACATTCATTACGTATAAAATGGAAGGTCAATTTATTGTAGATAAAGAAATTGGTTCAGGTTCCAATAAAACAAACCACCAGGATTTTGGATTGGTTTCGATGACGCTTTCTATGCAGTTGCTGGATATCAAATCCTTGCAAATGGTCGTATCGTATATTCTCAAGACAACGCAAGAGAAGAAGCATATATATACTTCAAAACTCACAAACTACCGAACAAATAAAGAAAGTAGATGTTTTCTCAAAGACTCGACATGAAGATGTATGGAGTCATTCGGGAACATGCAGAACAGGACAAATTGTTAGTGGTCCAATTACAGCAGGAAAATCATTTGATTTTAAGCTTCGTTTAAGAATTCCTGTTAGAAGATTCCTTCCATTAGAAGCTATTCGATTTATTCCAGCTTTTGCAGGAAACATTCAGCTTAAAGTAAAGTTCAGTAGCGACGCCTTACAATGCACATCTATATCTGTAAATGATATCATTGCTTTCAATCCAACTCTTAAAGTTGCATTTGCTTCAGATTCAAATCCACCGACAAATAAATTTGTTCCATGGAATGAACCATTCACTATGATAACGAAGGCAGTAGAAGCTAGTGGAACAGTTACTATTACAACTGTAACCCAGCAACTATTTCGAACAAAGATGGATTTTAATGAATGTTTCATTCATCCAAAATCATTCTCTTTAGACCCTAACATTTATACAGAACTTGTAGAACATTATACAAACGAGGCTTTATGTTTTCCTGTTAAAGTTATGGATTGGATTCCTATGGACGGTTCATTCTCAAAGAATACAGATAGTTCAAGTGCAACATTTACAGCAGCTTATACGCCTATTAATGTTAAAAGTATTTGGGCACTATTTAGAAAGAAAGACAACTATTATGTTAATTTTGAGAACCCTAAGTTTAAATATCTTCAGCTTTCCATGGGAGCTTATGGAAATATGCCTGCAGAACCTGAAAAATCATATGGACCTGTATTTTATGAAATGGTTGCGAACGCTTGCAATACAAACAATGATATGATTGGATTTAATGAAGATGTTATGAGGTCATTGGTGGATGATGGTAGTGTGGAACATAAATGGGATAGCTATGACAACACACATTTCTTATGTGGTTTTCCAACAGAAGTGGACTTTTGCTTCCAGCAAGGTCAAACATCTACTGCTCCAATAACATACAAATTGTCTGTTAAAGGACCTATTGAACTAGCAACTGAAAATGTACCAAAGCCACTTATTGGATTTATGAGGGATTGTTGCTTTGCCATTCAGGTGCGTGCTAATGGAATCCCAATAATAAGATTAGATGACTATAACTTAGCCACGGACGACAGTGAGGAATAAAGGATGAACGTTTATTTTTAAAGCTTATAAATGAGTTCTTCATCAAGCTCTCGCGAACCTTCACCATCTATGAAACAAACTTTACCAAACGATTATGGAGCACCTATTGAATATTTCTTACGAGCTGCACAATGGCAAAGAGCAGTCTTGTTATATACGAAAACGATAAAAACAGTTTGACAGAAAAGTGACAACTTTACGTGTCAAAAATATAAAAAGTGATATTTTATTCATCATTATCTTCTTCATAATTTATTTCATATTCTTCGTCTTACCAACAAAAGATGGGAATGTGAACAATTGCGGGCAATTTTTAGCCATTTTGGCTTGGAACTAGAGCCTGCGAGGTACATGGATAGTATCAGTACCTCACAGGCTCTAGTTCTCTATATGGCGCCGAGAAATTTTGGTGAAATGTGGTCGCATTTCACCAAAATTTTTTCGGCGCCATAGGATGAATTGGAGGGTGAGAGATATTATTTCATACAATACTACTCTCACCCTCCAATTCCCAGCCAAAATGGCTAAAAATTGCCGCAATGTGAACAATTGCGGGCAATTTTTAGCCATTTTGGCTTGGAACTAGAGCCTGCGAGGTACATGGATAGTATCAGTACCTCACAGGCTCTAGTTCTCTATATGGCGCCGAGAAATTTTGGTGAAATGTGGTCGCATTTCACCAAAATTTTTTCGGCGCCATAGGATGAATTGGAGGGTGAGAGATATTATTTCATACAATACTACTCTCACCCTCCAATTCCCAGCCAAAATGGCTAAAAAATTGCCCGCAATGTGAACAATTGCGGGCAATTTTTAGCCATTTTGGCTTGGAATTAGAGCCTGCGAGGTACATGGATAGTATCAGTACCTCACAGCTCTAGTTCTCTATATGGCGCCGAGAAATTTTGGTGAAACTGTGGTCGCATTTCACCAAAATTTTTTCGGCGCCATAGGATGAATTGGAGGGTGAGAGATATTATTTCATACAATACTACTCTCACCCTCCAATTCCCAGCCAAAATGGCTAAAAATTGCCCGCAATGTGAACAATTGCGGGCAATTTTTAGCCATTTTGGCTTGGAATTAGAGCCTGCGAGGTACATGGATAGTATCAGTACCTCACAGGCTCTAGTTCTCTATATGGCGCCGAGAAATTTTGGTGAAATGTGGTCGCATTTCACCAAAATTTTTCGGCGCCATAGGATGAATTGGAGGTGAGAGTATTATTTCATACAAACTACTCTCACCCTCCAATTCCCAGCCAAAATGGCTAAAAATTGCCCGCAATGTGAACAATTGCGGGCAATTTTTAGCCATTTTGGCTTGGAATTAGAGCCTGCGAGGTACATGGATAGTATCAGTACCTCACAGGCTCTAGTTCTCTATATGGCGCCGAGAAATTTTGGTGAAATGTGGTCGCATTTCACCAAAATTTTTTCGGCGCCATAGGATGAATTGGAGGGTGAGAGATATTATTTCATACAATACTACTCTCACCCTCAATTTTAATTACTTAAACTCATTCTATTTTTTTGACATGTAAATGTCACTTTTACTGAGATCTGACACAATGTCAGATCTCTTTTTTTCGTATATAAGAGTCTCACCAAGGTTAGGTGTTCCACCAGCTCCTGTCAAAAATAGCATTTGGTCAAGTCCTTATATAAGATATGGTCTCCCACTAGGTTTGCTAGCTACAGCAGGAGCAGTTATGATGTTGAAAAGAAATAAAGCAAATGTTATAAATAATACTGAAGTAGCTGAAGTTAAACAAACTCCAACACCTTCGCCAAAACCAACGCCTTCACAAGCAAAACCTTCAATGACTCCTGAACCTATGGAAGTACAAACTCCTGTTCAAAAGTCAACTCCTAAACCGACTCCAACATTTAAACCAGAACCTACTCCTCAAATAAATCGTAAAACTCCTGCGTTTCCTTACTGAAAAAAATAACGTTATTTTTATTTAATATTAAAATTTTTATTTGATTGAAATGACGACTAAAGTCACTGAAGCAATGAAACAAAAGTTTTTGGTAGAATACATTAAATCAGGAATTATTCCAGAAGGTTTTTACATTCATACTATGAAGGATGGTAGAGTTCAGTTTAGAAAGATAAAGCAACCATTAGATAAAGAAGGAATTTTGAGAAAGATTAAACTTCATGAGGACAACATTGCTGAACTTAAGAAGAAGTTAGAAGAGTTGGAGAAAGGAAGAGAGTTATAAAGCAATGAATTCACAAGGTTAGAAAACGTGTTAGAAAACGTGTTAGAAAACGTGTTAGATCTAACATTCTAACATAAACATTATTTTTTCACCTCTGACAACGTTTATTTTTATTTTATTTTTAAGTTTATTTTTATATAAATGACAGAACAAAAACAACTCATACAAATCAAAACATATAACAAACATACATTTAAACATTTATTCTTCCTTCCTGAGCATAACATGTTCTTTCAAATACATCCGAGACCAGTTGACTTTTCATTGACTGTTTATAAAGATAGAAATAGTTATATCATTAAACCATACGATGACGAAGGTAAGTTATGTAAATTGTACGTTAAGAAGTTAGAGAAAGTTTATGGCTTCAAGTATGACTACAATAGGGTTAACACTGATGATGAAGATATTGAGGAAAATTTATGAGAACATTAGTGAAGTCGTTAGTGAGAACGATAGTGAGAACGTTTATTTTTTACATTAGTGAGTTCGTTAGTGAAGTGAAGTGGGTGGCGGTTTTGTAAATATTTAAGATTAAGTTAGTGTTGTCGTTTGTGTTGTAAAATATACGTTAACGGTTTTGTAAAGTGTCAAATTCACAAGTATTGGGTAAAGTGGAACGCAGTGCCACCATACCCAAGACTTGTATACTAAACTTTGTCTGAATAGTTTAACATTCAGACAAAGTTTCCCGCTGTCAGAGAGGGAATGGAAGGGTAAGAGGTATATATTCATAATGTATACCTCTTACCTTTCATTCCCTCGAGAAAGTTCAAAAACTTGGGTGCAATCAGAACTGATTGCACCCAAGTTTTTGAACTTTGTATAAGGAATTGTTGGCTATGATGTACTGATCATGAATCAGTACATCATAGCCAACAATTCCTTCGCAAACAGCGGGAAACTTTGTCTGAATAGTTTAACATTCAGACAAAGTTTCCCGCTGTCAGAGAGGGAATGGAAGGGTAAGAGGTATATATTCATAATGTATACCTCTTACCTTTCATTCCCTCGAGAAAGTTCAAAAACTTGGGTGCAATCAGAACTGATTGCACCCAAGTTTTTGAACTTTGTATAAGGAATTGTTGGCTATGATGTACTGATCATGAATCAGTACATCATAGCCAACAATTCCTTCGCAAACAGCGGGAAACTTTGTCCGAATAGTTTAACATTCAGACAAAGATGATTTTTTTAAATAAGATATATATATATCAGATGATATAAGATGATTTTTTTAAATAAAAAATAAAATTTAATTTTTTAATTGTTAAATAAGAATAGTAAGCTTGACAAGTAATTTAAGTTTTTGCTTTGTAAAGTTATTTGGTTGGCAAATGCATTGTGTCACTTTTTGTTTGAGTTCACTTTCCGTAATTTGTCTTATGATATTATAGTCATCTAATCTTATTATGGGGATGCCATTAGCACGCACCTGAATGGCAAAGCAACAATCCCTCATAAATCCAATAAGTGGCTTTGGTACATTTTCAGTTGCTAGTTCAATAGGTCCTTTAACAGACAATTTGTATGTTATTGGAGCAGTAGATGTTTGACCTTGCTGGAAGCAAAAGTCCACTTCTGTTGGAAAACCACATAAGAAATGTGTGTTGTCATAGCTATCCCATTTATGTTCCACACTACCATCATCCACCAATGACCTCATAACATCTTCATTAAATCCTATCATATCATTGTTTGTATTGCAAGCGTTCGCAACCATTTCATAAAATACAGGTCCATATGATTTTTCAGGTTCTGCAGGCATATTTCCATAAGCTCCCATGGAAAGCTGAAGATATTTAAACTTAGGGTTCTCAAAATTAACATAATAGTTGTCTTTCTTTCTAAATAGTGCCCAAATACTTTTAACATTAATAGGCGTATAAGCTGCTGTAAATGTTGCACTTGAACTATCTGTATTCTTTGAGAATGAACCGTCCATAGGAATCCAATCCATAACTTTAACAGGAAAAATAAAGCCTCGTTTGTATAATGTTCTACAAGTTCTGTATAAATGTTAGGGTCTAAAGAGAATGACTTTGGATGAATAAAACATTCATTAAAATCCATCTTTGTTCGAAATAGTTGCTGGGTTACAGTTGTAATAGTAACTGTTCCACTAGCTTCTACTGCCTTCGTTATCATAGTGAATGGTTCATTCCATGGAACAAATTTATTTGTCGGTGGATTTGAATCTGAAGCAAATGCAACTTTAAGAGTTGGATTGAAAGCAATGATATCATTTACAGATATAGATGTGCATTGTAAGGCGTCGCTACTGAACTTTACTTTAAGCTGAATGTTTCCTGCAAAAGCTGGAATAAATCGAATAGCTTCTAATGGAAGGAATCTTCTAACAGGAATTCTTAAACGAAGCTTAAAATCAAATGATTTTCCTGCTGTAATTGGACCACTAACAATTTGTCCTGTTCTGCATGTTCCCGAATGACTCCATACATCTTCATGTCGAGTCTTTGAGAAAACATCTACTTTCTTTATTTGTTCGGTAGTTTGTGAGTTTGAAGTTATATATGCTTCTTCTCTTGCGTTGTCTTGAGAATATACGATACGACCATTTGCAAGGATTTGATATCCAGCAACTGCATAGAAAGCGTCATCGAAACCAATCCAAAATCCTGGTGGGTTTGTTTTATTGAACCTGAACCAATTTCTTTATCTGCAATAAATTGACCTTCCATTTTATACGTAATGAATGTATTGTAAAGGTCCAACATATTTTCACCAGGAGGTGAGAGATTGAATGTTACCCATGTGTTATCTTTAGCAGTTCCAGGTTGTGATGGAATCTTTGCGTCAGAATATTTTCTATTAGTGTCACCAATTTGAACTGAATTGTCTATGATATCGAAATATGAGCGAATCTGATGAATATGCTCTGCTGGAGTAAATTCGTTTAGCTGTTCGTTCTGCATGTATTTACTTCAGATAAAAATATCTATTTACTTCATTATTCTCACTCTTCTTCTTGGCATTCGTGGTGGAAGTTGTTTCTTGACATTTTCAATGAACTGTACATTCTCTTTTGTCTCAACTTCTTTCACTGGGGGTCAGGGTTCTTTGACTCGGTTTGTTTTTCAATGAAATTCACGAACTTTGCAATAAGCTCTTGGTTCGTTATTGAAAGTACATCTGGCTTCTTTTCTTCTGGTTCTTTGGTGGCTCAGTTTGAACAGAAGGTTTTATATGGGCTTCGTGGACTTCACCCTTGCCATACACCTTAATGTTGTCGCTTTCTGCATTCGCTAATGGAACCTTTCTTTTTCTTACGTATATTGTACCATCTTTACTCTGACTTACGTAATAGAAAGGATGTTGTATTCCTCTTGCGTCATTTAATATAATAGACTCTCGCTCTGATTTTGACAAGCTCATTTTACATCGGTTAAAGTTTTAATTTTGTTTTTTATCTGCAGTCAAATGACTCAGACAAGCCCTACGGACAAGACCCAAGGGGTCATAGATGTTGAAGCATTGAAGAAAGAAATTCGCGAGCAAATTTTATCCGAACTGAAGGAACAAAAACAAGAACAAAAGCCAGAGAGACCAAAGAGAAAACTTAGTGAAAAACAACTTGCTGCATTAGCTGCTGGAAGACAAAAGAACCCACGTTTGCTGGCGAAGAAAGCTAGAGAAGAAGCTGAAGCAAAAGCTAAAGAAGCTGAAGCAAAGAAAGAGTAAATGGTTTATTTTTATCCGAATTAAATGTATAGACAAATACCTTTATCTGTTGCGTTCAGTAGTGAAAACCCTGACGTCAAAATAAAGGGGAACAGAGTAACGTTTAAGTTTCCAACAGACTGGATTGTGAACATAAATGAAGAGAAGTACATTGGCATAACATCTATGTATATAACACGTGCTTTCAGAAAGGTTGACTTTATACTTCAAGTCGAGATAGAAAATGACGAACAGTCTTTAAGCGCCCAAAACATTCACATATACAAATACTTTAAAGACGATACAACATTACAACAATGTATGATTTCATTTAATGAGATGTTCGAGAAAAAGTTCAACATTGAAGTACAAACTTTACAGCCTTTACGTGAGTTTCTTGCACAACTGAAAGAAGAAGGTAGTCAGCCACAACTTATAGACTTTCATTATGAATTTAATGAAAATGAAGATGGAACACATGACTGTCAGTTTGTTGTATTCTCACCATTCAATGAAGTCGCTAAAGAGAAAGAAAATCCATTACGTATAAGATTTCAAATATCTGAACCAAGTGATGATTTCAAGAATGTTTTCAATTATGATGCAATGCTTCCGAGGAAAAATGAATTTTCAAAGATTGTAACACCTGGCATTTGGGATAGAAAGCAAGCTATATTATATTCAAACTTAAGTAAGGGAGTTGAAAATGAGTTCATTGGTCATACAAGAAATTCACCATTACCAAATCCCAAATACTATAAATTAACTGGCTTCAATCGTGAGTTTTGGATAGACATGTTCTCCACTCACGACCATAAATGTCCAGTGTTCTTGCCTCCAGATGGGAAGGACTGTCTCTACATTGAAGCACAACTCTTAAACTCTACCATTGCAGTATTGTAAAATCTACACTAGCTTTATTTTTATCACGAATGACCTCATTGCTGACAAAAATAAATGACCTCATTCATGACCTCATTGCTGACCTCATTCATGACCTCATTCATGACCTCATTGCTGACCTCATTCATGACCTCATTGCTGACAAAAATAAATGACCTCAGAACTTCAACTTACGAATAAAGCTTGTTTTAGTCGTTATTGAGAAGTTAAACTTTTCAGCAAAGCAAGGACTAGAAGACTTACATAAGTCAAATCCAATCTCTTGACCGTCATAAAGTGCTTTATATAACTTCATAACACTGAACTCAGAGTCTTTGTCAAATTTTCCTTGCGGAACCATTAAACCTTTATCTTCATCATAGAAACACTGAACAGAGTCAGGAAACATTTCATTAGCGGTTAAAGCAATAACATCTTGCTTCACGCCTTTCATTCTGCAGTGAAATGCAACTTCATTTAAATCATTCGTGAGTAAGTCTATGTAAGTCTTCTTTCCACAAAATATTGACTTGTATGCTAAACTTTGTTTATCTTTTGTGATTTCTGCAAAGTCGCTATGAAATTGACCAAGGTTTTTACCAATGAGAACTCTTCCATAACGTTTCTCAAACTCTTCAGCTAAACGAGGGATATCTTCATTGTAGAGATGCATACTGTCCGTATCGCTATAAAAGATGTCCATTCCTAAGTCTTCAGCAGTACAGAATACTTCACACATTATTCTCTTCGACATAGACAGAATGTTAACACAAAGTGGACAGAAGTTAAAGTGTCTGCAAATGCTTTTCGTTAGCTTGAAAATAGTTTTATCTGAACCATCCAAACCTTCGAACTTCACTATATGGTTGTAGTTTCTGATGGCATATCTTATAGCATCTTTGTCATTTACTATGGTTATTTTTGACTCAATAGGAGATAGAATAGTTTTGCCATAAATACTGTTCAGAATGAGCTTTATATTTTCTTGCAAAGGATTTCCTTCTTTCTTATACTTTAACCTTAACTCAAACAACTTCTTTACTTCATCTCTTATTCTAATATCTCTGTTTCCATCGTAATAGTATCCTTGCAACACTTCACATTTGACACCTTGATATTTTATGAGGTCTTGTAATGTTATATGGTCAACATACATTAAACAGCAAGTGTTTGAACTTCTGGGAACGTTAAGTTCTGGATTTAGTTCAGGGTCACAAACTATTAAAGGAAAGTGTCTATGTATTCCAATCTTTGTTATCTTAATGAGAACAAAGAAGCCTGACATAAACTTTTCACCAATGGGTTCCTTTTGGTCGTCATCGAATAAATGCTTTAACAAATATTCAGAACTTAACATCTCATCCTTCAATACTTTTGGAATTCCTTCTAAAGTATAAAGTCTTGCTATAGCGGATGGATATAATGAAACAGCGTCGAAGTCAGCAATGAGTTTCTTTTCGCTCTTTTGTTTCATGTTATCTGACAACATACATCTTCCACCTTGAATGCATCTCGAAATAAATTCTCTTGGTTTATTTGAGAGGTCATATAAATTTCCATTCGGGAAGTATACTCTGTTCTCAAACAATTTGTTAGCAATAGAACAAATACTAACGTAGTCATAAACGTTTAAATCAAATTCTTTTAATATATCATTGCGGAACTTAACAAAACCTTCTCTTAAAATTCTTACATCTTGTTTGCAATAAAATGTGCTATACTTTTCTAAGTCGAAGTGGTTTTCATCTATTCTGCAACCTTTGATGGAATCTATGTTTTTCATAAATGTATCTGCATCCTGGATAAACTTACACGCTTCAGAAATGACACCAGTTCTGTTGTCATTTGCTAACAAAGTACTGCTGTAGTAGTTGTATGGAAATACTTCTTTCGGTCCTGTTTGTAAGTTAAACATAGCAGGAAATAGTTTAAGCTTCTTATTTATAACACTGTAAGAGTCTTTTATAATAATTGCCCTTCCTTTATATAAGCCAGTTATTTGCATTGTTCGTGAACCTTTAATGATGGGAGTTCCTTTCACTTCTGTCATGTGTCTTAAGATGAAGTTTATATCATAGCTGAGGTTATGGAAATATATTAAACTCTTGTCAGGAAGTCGTTCCAAAAATTCTGTTGCACAGTTCTGACCCCAAATGCTTTGACTCACTGAACCATCTTCACTGTCGTAACAGATGTTAAAAGCTTTATGAAAGCCATCGGTACTACACTCAAAGTCAGCAAAGAAAACGTGCTCAGGAATGAACTTGCACTTATTTTTATTTACTTCTTTTGACTCGGCTTTCTTCTTCAGTTGTACACAATACTTTGGAGCATATGTCAAATCTTTAAATGGTGCAAGGTTCTGTTTATATAAGTCAGTCGTATATGTGAAAAGTTCTCCATAAGAAATAGGTTCGAAATATTTGCACTCCCACAATGTTTTCATAACATCCCATAGCGGTGTAGTTCTATCCATGCGAACTACATATTTATCTTCTCTCTTTGTATAAATCTTCATCTGTTTCTCAATGTTCATTCCACCACACTCCTTCAAGATTTCTATATAGTTGCGAATGAAATATGTTGTCATTGGAAGTCTTTCATTTAGCATGTAGTGGTCTTCAACAAGAAGTAAGTCAATAGTTCGAACAGTTTTACATTCTTTTGGTATGTATCTCTTTATTTCATTATGTCTTGAGTCATTGAAGTAACCAATGGTAACATTAAATGCTATACCTGTTGCGTCAGAAATTTCTTGTACTTTACTTTGAGGAAAGTCTCTAACACGAATGACTTCTCTCATGTGGTCAATAGTTTCTTCATTTACTCCAGCCTGAATGCAAGCATAAACGAAGCAGTTATCTTCTGTCATAAGTGTTGCAGTTCTTTTGTTCAGTTCATTGAAGATTTGGTAGCGTTCAAGCTTTATAGGTAATGTGCAAAGATACTTCCAGAACTGACCGCTTCTCTTCTTATAAAACTTCTTTTCACCAAGGATTTCATTCCAGAAGTCATCTATATCTTGTTTATCTCCTGTTTGTTTAAGTCTGTTCAATAATCTTTCTGTCTTTCTGTCAGTGTGCTTTCATCTCTATATGGTCTCTTTTTTGGTTTGCCTTTCTTTACATCTGACATCGTTAAGCCTTCATATTCTGTTAAATCATACATCTTTATTTCGGTAAGATTCTTTATGTTTGTCAAGAAGAAGTCATAGTGCATTTCAACAATACCTGCAGCATTTGCTTCTATCTCTGATATAAAGTTCTCCTTCAAGAGCTGATGTAGTAATGTTCCAATATTATTGAGGTTTAACGTAGAACATTCATACTTTCCACCAAGTTTATAACATACCATCCATCTTTGTTGGGAGTTTATTTTAATCTTCTCTAAGAGTCTCATGAAAACCTTACCGAAATGTTTGTGTAAGTAGTCTCTGTTTGGTTCATCTAAAGCTTCGATGTTAAAGTCAATGAGTCTATTGCCTGTCTTAACATTTCTCTTCCTATTCTCTTCATCTTTCTTTAACTATCTCTCACCTTCTTTTGGTTTGTCGTCAATGGAACGAATGACATCGTTAGCTTTGCGAACTTGTTCTATAGCACTTTTAAACATCTCTCTTCTCTGTTGTTTCAGTGTGTCGTCTCTCTTTCGTGTTTCACCAACGTTTGCATTTGTTATGTCAAACATCTCTTGACGAACATCATGCGAAAGAGCTTTACGAGTATGACCAACGTTCGCATTTGTTATGTCAAACATTTCTCTTCTTACTTCATGAGGTACTGAACGTCTATGATATAAGTCAATAACAATGTCATTTAAAGGCAATTCTCTTGCATGGACTTCGTCCTCGCCGCGTTGCGGCTTTATGAACTCATGAATTCTATCATAACTTATTGCACCATTATAGTCATTGAGGATGTCAGCGAGTGCTTTTTTGTTTGTTGCGTAATGCTTTGCAACATCTATATTAGCTTCTGTAAGAAGTTGTTTTATTTCCGAGTGTTCTAACTTAGACAACTTCCGATACATCTTTAGTAGGAAATAAAAAAATATTTTTTTGAAAAAATTAGATTAGATTTTTTAAAGTTATTTTTCAAAATAATTTAATATTTTTATTTTAATGAAACACATGCAAGATTGCAAGTTCTTTTCATACAATGCTCTCGCTACTGCCATCAAGAATGAGTTCAATAATGCTTTAAATGTTAATGTTATCTTTAACAAGAAGTTTGTGAAAGAATCTAAGTTTGGTCAGTATGTCAGACCATTAGCTATCGTCATTGACCGCAAACGTTATACTTCACAAGAGTTAGCAGTAGTTTTGAAACAAAAGAGTTTCTTCGTGAATGTCAAAGATACTCATTATACTGTCATAAAGAACTCTAACATTGACTTCTTCAGTATTGCTTTAAATCTTTCCGAACAGAAAGAATATAAGAAGGGTGAAACATCTGTGAAATATTATCCTTCATCTCTGAAGACAATAACGAACAAAGATGTTATACAGAAATTCATACCAAAGGTTGAAGAAGCTTCTATTGACATTGACGAAGAAAGTGAAATGGTTGAAGAAATTGACCCTGACGTCATTTAAGCAAAAATATATTTTTGTTAATTCTTCCTCTTTGAAGTTGTCGAAATATTCTGTTATTTTTTCTTTCAGTAGCGGTAAGTCTTCTTTGAATGTAAGTATTGTGCAACCTTTGATATCATAGTGTGTTTGAGGAAGCGTGTCTTGAACTATCTGTTTAACATCTTCATTCGGTGTCATTGAAATCGGTAAGTTGTCACGATAGAACCAGTTTCTGTCAGATTTATATATTTTAGCTAAGTCATAAAAGCTCTTGTTGTTTCTTCTCACTAAATGCAACATAACCATATCTCTATCTTCTTCTTTCTCCAACTCTTCAGCGTAAATCATATACTTATAGCTTTTTTCCTTTCCTTTTGGTACTGAACGCGGTATTCTTTTCTGTATGCTTTTGTCTTTGGATTCAATGACTTCATCTTTTGCTTGAAGTTTCTTTTCCATCTCTCCACGTTCTGCTTTATATAGTTCATCTAACATCATGAAAATATAACAAGCATAACGAGGTGAAGCCCACATTGCTACAGCATTTACTAAAAGTCTATGAACATAATATCCTTTCAAACCAGGAGCCAAATTCTTGCGATTTTCGTACGGAATCTCTTCTCTCGGTTTTCCGGGGGAAGCAATCATATGAGGAAATTCTTCTAAAAGTTCTTTTGTCTGTTGGTTTTCAAACCAATGATATGCTTGCTTTGTAGAACGAAGAGCATTCATTATACTTTGCATTTGGTACATGTCATCTTTGACCGAACGAATGAGGCGAAGTTGTTTGTTATATTGTATGTATTCGTATTCTTCATTTATGGCTTCATGAACGATAGCAGTTGTTGTGTTCTCTGTTGTTGACATTACTGTTCTTACATACAAAATAAAAAAATATTTTATAAAAAAACTAACTTTATTTTCTGACTTTCACAAAAGACCAAAAATAAACGCTTTACATGTATTTTTCAGCAACTTCGTCAAATAATTTTATAGCTTTATCTATCTCATCTACTTCAAACGTTTCTTTACCTTTCATGGGAGCACCATACCTTTTCTCAAACTTTTCAAGTAGTTCTGTTTCAGCAGCTCTCATATCATTAACGAACACAACCTTGACTCTATTGACTGTACTGTCATATCTTTGAGTTATATTATATGTTCTTCCTATCTTATATCTCTTTGTATTGAAGTCCTTCGGTTTCTGAACGATGTAAAGTAAGCCTTCACTGCAACGTTCTGAGTCGAATGAACCATAAGTTATGAAGTTATATCCAACAACTGGGTCTAACCATAACAAAACTATTGGTATAAGACTTTTGTCAATGAGATATGCTGTAGTTCCATAGAATCTTACCGATATCATAAGCTCAGGATTTCTTGTCAAAATTTTCTGAGTTGAAGCATTTCTAACCCAGTGGTTTGTTTTCTTTTCAGATGGAGATATAATGTCTGACAAAGAATATTTGTTGTATTTCTTTGAGTATCTTACGTTTAAATCACCTATTCTAACCACTTTGGTGTCATTGTCTATCTTTCTAACTGTTTCAAACTCAATGTTTGACATTACTGTCTTTACATACAAGATAAAAAATTTTCTTAGAAAAAATTAGCGTTATTTTTCTAACTAATGAAATTCATGAAATTTGGTTATTTTTCAGACAAAAATAATGTTTAGGGTAGATGGTTAGATCTAACCTGATATCTACCCTCATTATTTATAACCGTTTTACATGGTAAACGTTATGAATTCGTGAAATTTTAAATATTTTTGTAGCTTCTATTTCTTCTATTAGTATGTCAAAAGTTTTAACAATGCCGAAAGTTTCTTTATACTTCTTCTTGACATCAGATAAAAGGAAATCATCAGCTGTGGGATAGTTTTTATTAAGAAATGTCAACATGTCCATTTTATCTTCTGCTGGCTTTTCTGCTTCTTTCTTTAAGTCTGCGTAATCGTTTCTCATTCTTTCTATCTCTTTTACTGAGTAGTTATATTTCCTCATTGCTGCTTTACATTTTGAGCATTGCGGATTCATTTTTGCGTTATACATTGAAATTTGACCTGCTAGAACAACTAAGGCGTCAATGGTTTTCTTTAACTCAAAAGTTGTTGGTTTTATCTGTTCGTTCCATACTTTGCCTCTTCTGTCTTTATCTCTTATCTGCCACACACATTCAGCAGCTAATGAAACAAAGTTATCGTAAGTCTTAAACTCCTCAGATTTATATATGTCAGAAATGTTTTTATAAACCATGTCGCAATCTTTGTTCATAACTTTATGGTTGCAATGAAAACCAAGGAATTCATAATTTACTTTACGTATGAACTTCTTTATTTCTACTGAATCAGTAACTTTAACTTCAATTTCATCGAATTCAGGAATAGTTAGTTTTTGTTGCTGAACTTCCGGTAATTTAGGCAAATGGTCTATGATATCTTGCATTTCATATAGCTCCTCTCCATTTGTTTCATCTTTCGCACTACAGTCTAAATTACTTGTTAAAAGTTCTTGCTTTATTCTTTGTATTTCTGTTTCAAAAGTATATGAAGAAGGAATGAAGTTTTTCATCTCTACCAACATTGACGTAGGATTCATGATTAATGAATTTGGTGCCGTGCATGCTGTCGAAAGTGCTGATGTTTCGATTTTTGTAATCATATTTATATAAAAATAAAAAAAATAAATAAAAATAAAATTAACTTTATTTTTTTCTATCTTAAGGAAATTCATGAAAATTCATGAGGGTAGAAATGAGGGTAGAAATGAGGTTAGATCTAACCATCTACCCTAAACATTATTTTTGCTGAATTCAGCAACAAAATGAACGAGGTCAGAATGTATGTAAATACCTTTGAATTCATTTATAACGCCCTTAGTAAGCTCATAAAATGCTTGTTTTGCATCACATTTTGACGAAGTGCAAATCTTCACTTCGTGTCATGATGCAAAAATAATGAGTTCATTTACTCACAATATTTTTGTACAAAATGTAAACTTTACATAACCGTTTCTATCGTACATGATATTTAGTTGACATTGTAAACTATCTTCATGTAAAGTATGGCGGTTTGAAACCGTCGGGAACCTTCACTTTTTGACGAACTTTCCGCAGCAATTTTTAAAATTTGTGAAAACTCAACGGTTTGACACGTGCCATATGTCATTTTACTCAGAATTTTGTGCTGAATTCAGCAAAAATTATTTTTGTTCATGGGCTATGCCCCGCCGCTTTGCGTCTTTATGTTAAAATAAATGGTACCTTTAATGATATCATGACTGTTCTCGTTCATGTCTGATTTACATCTAATGAAAAAGTTTAGAAGAATTTTCTTATTCTTTCTGGCATATTTTTGTCTTTCCAGAACTCCCACTCTAATGGTCCCAGATGTGTTGGCTTCGACTCTCTCAAGTTCTTAGATGGTATAACATCTTCAACGCCTCCTTCATATCTTACTTTATAAGTGTCATCGTTTGTGTTATAGCCAAGTATTTCAATAACCACTCCTCGCTTTGCTTCGTCAATGGTTTCAGTAAGTTTGCCATTACTACTTTCGACTAATTTATGACGAGGATAAAACGCAATAGAGTCGTCGGCAGCTTTTATAAGATATCCATTACCTTGCGTAGAGTCTACGATATAATAATTTCGACTTAACCTTAAACGTTTCTTTGTCAACGGTTTGTCGTCAAGAACTACACGAACTTTTGTACCAGGAATGAGAGTAAATTGTGTTGAATTTCTGATATTTTGTGTTTGACTTTGTTTCTTTTGTATATACTTTTCTTCTTGTTGTTGTGTCATTGAATTTGGTGTATGTCCTGTTGTAGAATGTGTTGAGGAATTATATACTTCGAGAAAATGTTTCATTGTTTCTTCGGTAAAGTCTCGCTCTTGATTTAAATCTCTGAGAGTCCTTATGAAGCGGTTTATGATGCCGAGTATGTTATGGTTATGGTCTTCAGTAGTGTAGTGAGTTATGTTATGCTTAATGAGAAATTCTGTGATTTCATTGCTGAGGTATGCACTGTCTTGGTCTGATGTTAAAGTACTTGGGCTATGTTCTGCTACAAACTTTTGTAAAACTCTTAACACTTCACGAGTTCCTTTATTTTTCATTGGATATGCATATGCTTTACGAGTGTTAACATTTATGAAGATGAGGAATGGTTTATGTCCTCCTTTTCTGCTTTGAATGAGAGTGTCAAATTGGTATGCGTCAGGAGTGTTGGAGTAAATTGGTAAAAAGTAGTCGTAAGGGTTTATTTTTGTTTGATGTACAACATTTTTGTCAAAGAACTTTTTAACTTCAGCTCTGTTAGTAAATCCCCAACTCTTTGCAGCTTCATTGAACTTCTTAAATGACCTCCACGGTGATGATTCGAATACTTCTTTCAAGCTCATTTATGTAAAGTTAAAGATTTTAAGCAGCTCTATACCATGCGAATACAGTCACAAATGGTGGCATATAATCTTCACCCGAGCCTGTTGGATTTGTTGTGAAAGTGTGTGAATGATTACCTGCGGTTCCACAGAAAATACCTGCGCTTGAATCTACTGGGTCAGTTGTGATATCATATCTATTCATTCCCCATCTATCCGAACCCGCTGCAAGATTTATATAACCTCTTTTTGTTATTGAATGTGAATGATTTCCTGTTGTGTTTGTAGTTCCTGTATGAGTGTGCGGTGGAAGGTTTGCTTCTTTAATTTTCTTCGAACCTCCTGTTTGCTTTGAAGAGTTCGCACAATAGAGGAATTTGTCTACAATCTGCTTCCACATACCAAAACCTAAAACTGTTGCTGGATTTGTTGAGTTCATTGACGTATAAATAGAACCAACAGGATATAATGTTTGAAGTATTTCCGTCTTTAATGTTTGAAGCTCTGTTTTGTCAGCTTTCTTATCTAACATTGTTGGTAGTTCATGTGCTTCAAAGTTTCTGGCATGATCTTCGATATTCCTGCAACTGTTATCTAAACTGTTAAGAGTATCTTTTACGCTTGTACTTGGATTTTCTAAAGGTGCACTTGAACCAAGGTCAAAGTTCAATATTATGTCGTCTGCTCTAACAGTAGTGAAGGATTTATGTGTATGGTTCTTGTCAGCTTTATTATCATATAAATCTTGAGCAGTGAATTTAACATTATTTTCATCATCCATGACATAAACATTTTTACAGCTAATTTCTTTCTTCGTTGTTATGTTTTCATTCGATGTTAAACCTTGTGGAAAGTTAGGAGGTTTATAATATAATGCATTCCCACCAGTTCCGCCAACCGTTCCTTCAATACTTTCTATAGCAACAGTTGAGAAGGAGTTATGTGTATGGTTTTTGTCTGCTTTCTTATCTAACATTGCTGGTAGTTCATGTGCTTCAAAGTTTCTGGCATGACCTTCAATGTTCCTGCAACTGTTATCTAAACTGTTAAGCGTGTCTTTTACACTAGTGCTTGGATTCTCTAAAGGTGCACTTGAACCAAGGTCAAAGTTCAATATTATGTCGTCTGCTCTAACAGTAGTGAAGGATTCATGTGTATGGTTTTTGTCAGCTTTACTATTTAATGTAGCTTGAAGTTCATTTATATCGGAGATATTGTGTTTATGAGATTTCAAAACTTTGTTCGTTGCGTCAAGTTCATCTTTGTCAGCTTTACTTTTAATAGCATCTTCAAAAGTTATTTTTGCCTTAACTCTCAAAGTAAATCTTGGTTCAACTAATACACCGTTAACAAAGAAACTAGAGGCATATATTTCATCGTTATAACCAAATGCTTCTAGTGCTTTACCCGTGTCATACTGTACAGTACAGCTTATGTCATAACCTTTAGCACGAATGTATTTATATCTTCTTTCATTAACATCTTCAGTGCTTATTTGTTCATCCTGTGTTAAATATCCATGGTAGTCCGTTATAATCTGTTTGTCTGAACTTATATAATGAACATGGTTTTTATCTGCTTTTTCGGCTAATTTCTCTTCTATCTCATTTATTTCAAGTTCAACTCTTCCGCCAGAACTCTTATTATCATTAATCTTTTTCATTAATTCGGTAATTACGTCATAAAGACTATATTCTGTTTTCGGTTTTGTAAATAATGAGTCAAAATTTCTTTTCATCATTACATCGCTGACATTAATGATATCACCAATTCCTTTTTCATTTATTCTCTTCATTAATTCTGCAATAATGACGAATATATAATCTGTTAATTTATTCTCTTCATCGAGGGTTATAGAATGTTTTGAAATTGAATCATTAACTCCTCTAAATAAATCAATAACTTCAGGATACACGTTTTTAATGTCTCGAATAACCCGACCAGTATCCTGTTGTTCATGTTCTTCGTTCCCGTCGTTACGTGGTTTTATATCTCTAACCATCATCAACGCAGCCATAACCGGAGGGTTTGTTGCTATCTGTTCGAAAATCCGTCCGTTATGTACGGTATATCTAAATAATTTCTTTGTGTTTGTTAAAACATTTGAAACAAGTCTTTTAAAACCATCTACAAAATTTCCTGTTTCACCTAATGTTCTTGCAACATTTACAAGCTCACCCATTCCCGCTTTTGACCCCAAAAACGTCCATATTGCATTTATTTCACTCTGTATAGTTGTCCATTCAGCGAAACTAACACCCGCATTCGCTAAGCTGAAAATGAAATTCAGTGGATCGAACTTAATTCCACCTTCTTTTTCAATTTCAACGAACTCACTAACATGAGATTTTAAGTATTCTTTCGTTAAAATTGTTTTCCCCGATGTTATGTCATTAACGAAACTATCACCGTCAAAAGTTAACGAATTCAATTTCGTCGTTGATGCTTTTATTTCATACACCGCTTTATCGATAGTTTTTGGCTCACCTTCTTTAGAAGCATATGAAACATTAATGAATGAATTATATGTATTCGTGAATGAGTTAAAATCAATGATTTTCATTAATGACGCCTTTAATGATTCATTTACTGTTGAATCCCTTAAAGCAATTAATGAACTGTCATTTATGAAAGGTACACTGCAAACCGTCGAGTTTGGATCAAATGCTGTAGTTGGTGCAGGAATATTAATGATATAAGTCATTAAATCATTAAGTGACGTAAATAATGTTGTCGTTTTTGATTTAATTTCTTTAGCATCTGTTATATATGGTAATTTTATTTCTGTAGTTTCTGAATTAAAGATATTCGCTAAAATGTTTTGTAAACTGTTTTGAACAGCTGTGTAAACCGTTGAATCCGGAACCCTTACAATTTCACCATCCTTAATAAAGGGCATTGCACATGGCGTAGTGCTTGGGTCAAATCTTTCGGGATTATAATTCAACATATATTCTAATGCTTCATAAACAGACCTATATACTGTTGTGTCGTTCTTCATGACAACTTCACCATTTACAATGAATGGCATAGTACATGGAGTTAAAATAGGGTCAAACTTTTCATAGTCCTTCCATGTTATGTATTTCTCAGTATTTCCATCAGAAATAACAATATATTTGTCAGTAAGTGTGAGAGAGTATTGACCAAAATATAAACGTTTAGCTCTGTCAGCTTCATACGCATATGCAGCAATAGTCATATTTTAATAAGAATAAAATGTTGTTCTATTTGCAAAGTACAGACCCAAACGAATACGGGACAGTAAAGCTACAAACAAACTTAGGTCTTCAGAATGAGGCGCTTGCATTCAGAATGGTTGACTTCAATACTATCGCTTCATTCGTTATAACAAATGAAACAGATTTCATGGAGATTGAAATAGATGGAAAGAAGCACGAAATAAGATTTCACAATAATGTAGAATATAAGATGGAAACATTAGCTGGAGTGTTAAATGTTCTCATAAATACTACAATAAACAAGGATAACGAAGAAAACTTAATGAATGTTAAACTTATTGCAGGAGTTTTGAAGTTCAGTTATGTGAAGGAGTTTAAGATACCAAGATGAGTCATAGAGTACAACTTCTTTTGGGTGCATACCATATGACATTTCCTTTGAAAAGTGTTGACAAAACGATTGAGATGAAATCTGTTCCATACGTATGTTATGGTAATTGTTTATACATTGAGTCTAAAATAGCTAATGTCACAGGTATTTCAGGAGTTAATAGTAAAGGTTCAGTAGAATATAAATCCTTCTGTTATGCAGTCAATTCAATGTTCATTCCAAATGTTCCTGTCATAGCAACTCATTTAGGTAAATGGGTTCGCATTAGTCCACATAATTTGAAAGACATGCAATTCAGACTTGTTGACTTTCAAGGAGAGCCTGTAGAACTGAAGGCACCAGTGCGAATGACTGTTGAAGTTGACTTTTTAGAAAATATTAAATGCAACAGCTTACAAGAGAACTCAGAGCTAAAAATATAAAGTATGAATGTTATGTATTAGGTCATGAACTTTGGTTGTTGCTGTTTGATGAAACAAATGAGTTAGTTATGTCAGTCAAGAGAACAGAAAAATATTGTGTTAGTGAAAACTGCACCAAGTCAATAAGATTAGGTTTGTATTATGAAGATGAGTTCGATACTGTTGAAGAAGTTTTGGATAGATATTACAAATTGCTAACTTGAAATTTTTTGACTGACGGCGCAAAGCGCCAAGATGGGCTCAAAGAGCCCTCCTGACTGCTTTAATTTACTAAAACATATTTCAAGCAAAGTTTATATTCTGTTGAAAGTTTTGTATACTCGTTCGAATATTTATACTTAAACTCAACTCCTGTAGTTCCTGGTGTTTCAATGATGCGGATGTTACCTATTTTCATGAATAGTGGAGTTTGACCACAGCATTCGATTTCAGGGTCGAGATAGTCAATGACACATTGTTTCCCTGTTATTCGTGAGATAACATTTTCAAGGTCCTCCTTTGTTAGAATTATTTGGTTCTTACTTATAAGATTTGTCAAAGCTTCTTATCGTCTTTGAGTAAAATTGTTTGGTATAACTGAAGAAGGTAATGGTCTACGTTATCTGAAGGATTTGTTTGAACATTTGTGTAAGGGTTGTCGTTGGCTTCTCTTGAAAGAACTTGGTCCAGTGGTGGATACTCTAACTTAACATCTGATGTAGCGTTAGCGTTTGAAGCTGAGTTTAAATTCACCGACTTAAGATCTGGTTCTTTTTTCTTTCAAACACTCCGAACTATAGTTCTTTATGACAATATTGTTTGTCGTTCGTGAGTCAACATTTGATGTTGGTTCAATTGGAACATTAACGGCACCAGCTAAGATGGATTTGCTTCTCATTTCATATAGAATAAAAACCTTTTATATGTATGAAATGAACAATATACTCGACAAGGGTTTGAATGTAAAGCTAACGAATGAAAATATTGTTGAATTCACTGAGACAGGAGCTGTGTATAAAGATGTAGAACTACTGAACAAAAGAGCAAAGGGAAGAAGCAGGAATATGAACAAAGGGTGAAGCCTATAAAAATTTATGTCAATGATGGCTCAGGAGGTTCAAACATAAAGTATGCAGAAAGTTATAGAGTTTATGCTCTCAAAGGTGAAAAGCCTTCATTTAAGAACAGCTATTCTAACACATATCCTCAAAAGCTAACGGATGGGGAAGTGGATGATATGAATGACAGCAAAAATATTAACAGAAATGGCGACAGAGATGCATGGAATTTGTTTACCATCAGTCAATTGAAGGTTAAACTTTAAAACAATGTTGGTCGTTCCCATGGAATATTTTTGACTTTAATGGTATTAGTCATGATATGAATCTCAAGGTATGAACGAGGAGAGATGAGAGACTTATATGCTTCCCAAATTTCTTCAAAAGGTAATGTTATACCTGACTGTTTCCAAATGAGTTCAATATCATAGCGTGAGAAACCTTGAAAGATAACGAAGTCAGTTATGAGACGTTTTATGTTTAAAGCAAGAAAACGCCATGTTTGCATAAGTATTGCTACAGTTAAATGGTAATGTCTGACTTTAGTTATGATGTTAGCTAATGGTGAGTCTGGTTTTGACACTAAACCTTTTCCGGCGAAGTCGTCACAAACGAGCAGAGTGTTTGAAGGATATTTTTTGAAGGGGTATTTTGAAAGTTTTGATAGAATGTAGTTTGTCAGTCGTTTCATATCGTAAACTCCTGAGTATTGACGTAAGTGGTGTTTGTCAATAATTCTTTCCATCTCCTCAGAAGTCTTTTGCATTCCTGACTGTATGAACTCTACGATAGCATAATATTTCCTCTTACGTCGAATGTAACGTTGAAGAAATTCAATGAGTTCGCTATCTGGAACTTTAACGACAGAGGCTTGAACTTTTGACATAAATGTTTTCGCTGTTGAGTCCATAGAGTCTGAAGTTGCTGATATAATGATTTGGTCATAGTAAGAGTCGTTTCCTAAACGCTCTGTTATGAGTATATGACGAATGAGGTTAAATGTCTTACCTGAACCCATCTTTCCACAATAGAAATACACACCATTTGAACAGAATTCATAATCTTTGCTGAAAGGAAGAATAAGAGAAGAGTTAAGTTTGTCTGTAGTTTCATTCATGTCTTCATCTACATCATGTATTAAATGCTTCATTTTATCTCCATTAAAAATGCAAGTCAGAAATATTCAGAACATAGCACCGAGTCTAACTGACAAGAGTATAAAGATATACTATGAACATGTTATGATGAAACCAACCAAAATTCAAGAAAGTCAGTATACTTATGAATATCCAAGACACTGGGTAGAGTATGTAGGAGGTGAGAAAGCTATTGAAATCAGACAGGTTCGAAGTATTCCAGCAGGAAGAACAATATTATTGAAGAACTTTAATGTTTTGAGATATAATGATGAAACAAAGAAGCAAGATAGTTTCCCTGTTGCTGTGTATGTGAACCTAGACACAGGAGATGACATGAAAGTTTTTAACACAAAGCTTCAAACGGTAGTGAGAGAACAACTTACTGCGGAAGGACATCCATTACCTTCAGAAGTTACCATAGCATATAATTTTGAAACAAACTCAATAGATTTTAAAGTCGTCTCTGCAAAGAAGTCAGGATTTACATTTAATGAAGCAGATGTATATTCGAATGAAAACTTCAAAGCTATTGCATGGTTAGATAATGACGATTGCTTTAAGAAAATCTTTAAATTCAGTGACTCAAAGATGTCAATAGATGACCTTCGTGGAATGTTACCATCGACGTTTACAGTTGAAGGTTCAGCAGGATTGCTTACAAGTTTTTCAATTGGTGGCATTTGGTCTCGTGAGAACATTGTTATAAAATCCAGTATAAGTGAATTTGCTGAAGAATCTATATTATGTCTTTCAAACTATATGTATTCGCCGCCAAAGCATTATAGTATAACAAACTTTGTCAGTAAGTTTAACATAAGACTTGTCGAACCTTCTTCAATGAAAGATGTTGTGCTACCTAAAGATGGAAAGGATGGACTCATTATTGAGATGATTTTAATTGCATATTAAATGAGTTTGTTCTTGAAAGTCATTCATGATGAAATAACTGTTGTAGAAGATGTTAGCAATTGTTCAGACATTTTGAAGCGTATAGATGATATAAGAAAGAAGTTAGATAGACCGCAAAGTGGTGAGGGCGAAGCCCGTGAGAATGTTTATGTTTCATTGACTTTCTCCAGTAACGAGAACTTTTATGAGATAATATTGAAGAGAGATGATTTTAATATGGTGTAAATGGTGGCTTGGGCAGCTTTAGGCGCAATGGGAACAAAAGCATTAGCATTTGGAGCAAAAGCACTTGGAGCTTATGACGCAGTAAATAAAATGAGTGGAGGAAGAGTTTCGAAGACATTAGATGCAAATAAAGGAAAGATTGGAGGTTGGGTTGCAAAGAAGTTAAGATTAAATAAAATAGGGCTCATAAATAAAGCATCCAATTTGGTTGCGACTGAGTCAGAAAATGCTTTAGGAAAGGATGATGAGTTTGCAAAACATGCAAAAGACTTTAATGACCAGATGAAAGGTGAAACAATGCATTTAAATAGAGGAGTATATAAGAATTTCCGAAAAAGTGACACCCAAAAAGTGACACTTTCAATAGGGAGTAACACTCAAAAAGTGACAATTTAAAATTCACAATAAATAAAAATAATAATTTTTTTAGTCTATTAAATTATTCTTTTCTTTGAAATCCTCCAAAAATTCTTCGAAATGTTCTAAAATATAACCCGGAGAATTATAACAAAATTCATTAATTTCTAACATATACGTATCTAACAATTCATTTGGAATTTCAAACGATCTTAAATATGTAATTGAATTTTGTATCTTCTCATTTATTTGAGAAAGTTTTTCTTCAGCATTTTCCAAGTTTTTGAACTTTCTTGAGGGAATTAAAGGGTGAGAGATTTATAGTCTATCTATATATCTCCCACCCTCTAATTCCCTCCCTGACAGCGGGAAACTTTGTCTGAATGTTAAACTATTCAGACAAAGTTTCCACTGTTTGCGAAGGAATTGTTGGCTATGATGTACTGATTCATGATCAGTACATCATAGCCAACAATTCCTTATATAAAGTTCAAAAACTTGGGTGCAATCAGTTCTGATTGCACCCAAGTTTTTGAACTTTCTTGAGGGAATAGAAGAGTAAGCGGTATACATTATGAATATATACCTCTTACCCTTCCATTCCCTCTCTGACAGCGGAAAACTTTGTCTGAATGTTAAACTATTCAGACAAAGTTTCCCGCTGTCAGCGAAAGAATTGTTCCATCTGGTGCATAGAGTGTGAATCTATGCACCAAATGGAGCAAGTCCCTCGCGAAATTGCCCAAACTTGCGTCGCATTTCAAAGATTGCGACCCAAATTTTGGCGATTTCTAGTAGAGATGGAGTATTTTGAGTTACTGACCTATATGCAGTGGCTCAAAGGGCTCCATCTCTACTTTGAAGCAAGGAAACTTTCCTCGAAATTTTGATAATTTGAAGAAAGTTTTCAAGCAATTAACAAAGGATTACTCGCTATGAGGTAAAAATTCTAGATTTTCACCTCATAGCGAGAGCTTCCCTTTCATTGCTTGAAAACTTTCCCCAGCTTCAAAATTGGGGAAAGGGCTGTAAAGTCGACTCCGATACCAGCAGGTACCAGAGTATTTAAAAGAGAAGCCCTCGTACGAGTTTCTATGAAGACCTTCTCATTCAAGAAGATCTGAATAGAAAATCGTACGAGGGCATTGGAAACTCGCGTCTGGTACATGTTAGTACCAGAGTGTTTGAGATTTGAAGACTCTGGTACTAACATGTACCAGAATTTATGATGAATTTAAGATGGACCATTATAAAATGGTAGCGGTTTGTTTCAAAAAATTAGATGAGATTTGCATAGATATAGATTATATGATTTATACATATGAAAAATAATATATAAAAATATAATTTTGAGATAATTATGTAAATAATATTTTAAATATTTGAATTTGAGGTATAATTTTATAGTAAAATATATTCTAAAGAGTATTTATATAAATATTGTAAAATAATATAAGTAATAAAAATTGAGACCTCCTCCCTGTTTTTGATGTTTTGTCACTTTTTCGGTAATTCTTATTGTTTCGAAAATGCTTTAGGAAAGGATGATGAGTTTGCAAAACATGCAAAAGACTTTAATGACCAGATGAAAGGTGAAACAATGCATTTAAATAGAGTCGATGGAACTAAAGAAAATGTTTCTTCTCCACCAGTAGTTCTTCCGTATGGTCCCTATGGAATGTATGGAAACCCTTATGAACGACCATTTGACCCATTGACTGGTGGAAGTAATTGGTATCATTATGGACGAAGAAGAAAGACAGTCAAGTTGGAGACAGACGTGAAGAAAGCAACTAAAAAGAAACCAAGGAAGAGAGTTATAAAGCAATGAATTCAACAGGGTGAAAAAAGAGGGTAGAAATGAGGGTAGATCTACCCATCTACCCTAAATTTATTTTTGTGCTATGTTTTCATACGTGTGAGGGTGGTGATATCATTAATTTTTAAGTTTATTTTTTATTTTATTTTTATATAAATGACGAAAACTATTGAGATAACAAACTACAACGGTCATGAGTTCAAGAATTTGTTCTTCGTTCCTCGTGAAAATACATTCTATCAGATACGAGGGAGAAAGGGTAAAGTTAGTTTGAGCGTTTATGACAACAAACATAATGGAAAGTTTATACAAGCATATGATACAAACGGTAAGCGTGTTTCATTAGCTTTGTCAAAACTTACAGGTATAAACTATGACAGTGATTTTGACCTATATGAAGAAGAAAGTGAGTCAGAAGATTATGAGCTGTTATATGAAGCACAGCAATGGGAGGAGTTGCAATACTTTTGTAAGTGAGAACGTTTATTTTTACATTAGTGAAGTCGTTTGTGAAAACATTAGTGAGGTGAAGTGGTTGGTGGCTTTGTAAATATTTAAGGTTAAATTAATGTTGTCGTTTGTGTTGTAAAATATACGTTAACGGTTTCGTAAAGTGTCAAATTCACATATCATGAGTAAGGAGGCGCGCAGTGCCGCCGTACCCATGATATGTATACTAACTCCTGTCAACCCTATATCTAATGAATTTAACTACTGAATACATTAAAGCTCGCGATTTTATTCAAACAGAATTCCGACCAAACGGAAGCTGGAGTTTGTTTGAGTTCATTATACGTTTCGTAGGTGGATTTACTTCTATGTACGAACTTACCAACGACAAACTCTACCTAGATAAGGCAGTTATGTGCGCAGACGCCATTTTCCCTCTGATGAGTGGCGGAATTTTCGGAGGAGGTGTCAGTTTACGGACAGACAGTACTGGAAAGATCACTGCGAATGGCGGAGGAGGTGGAGGACACAATGTAGCTGATTCTAATACATACCAGCTTGAGTTTATTTCGCTTTCTATGTTAACTGGAGATCCGAAATACGCTGATTTGGCCGTAAAGACGTATAAACACATGTGGGGTAAGTTTAGGAATCAAGGATTGATACCTGAGAACTTCCACAGTGGTAGTCTTCACGTAGGAGCAAATATTGACTCATATTATGAATATATTATTAAAATTTACGTAATGACGAGAGGTGTAGCCAATAACTTCCTTAACAAACACCTTCAGATCGTAAAGGATATAAAAGAAAAGCTTGTTATCCATTCTGGAAAAAATAATTATACAGGACTCGGAGTTTATTCGAATGGAAGGACTGATCCGATGCAGGAACACTTAGGAACATTCGCTGGTGGTATGATAGCAGTAGGAACTGTTAAAGAAAACCCTCATGCGACTGAAGATTTGAAATTGGCCGATGAATTGGTCACTGGTTATGCCAAAGCATACGAATTCACGCAGACAGGTGTTGGACCAGAAAAAATCAGATTTTCACGTAGCAAAGACCACGATTTCGAAATTGAAAACTGTGAATACATGTTAAGACCAGAATCTAGTGAAAGTGTTTACGTTATGTGGAAATTCACAGGTTTGCCGAAGTTTAGAGCATTCGCATGGAATATGTTCAATGGAATTAATACATACGCTAGAAGAAGCAAAGGATTCTCACATATAAGTAACGTAGATAGTAAGAACTCTTGGGGAGCTCCAGGACCTCAAGAAAGTTTCTTCTTGGCTGAAACATTGAAGTATTTGTACCTTACTTTCGCAGATACATCCATTATCTCACCAGCTCAGTGGGTATTTAACACAGAGGGACATCCTTTGAGGATATTCACAGAAGAAGAGGCTCAGAAATGGAAATCTGTCCTGAATTTCTAATAATATTGTATTTATATATTATTTTATATTATAAATCATTTGATATTTATTTGGATACTGCAAAACAGTAGCTTTATTGAATTTACTATCAAAATTTTTTCTTTGTCCAAATTATGAAGTTCAGAGATATGAAATGACTGAATGACAATGTGAAAGTATAGAAAGCAATATGGTATTATAATATTAAGAAGACTATGTTCTTTATATAACTCCTTTTTCTCTTCTTTTATCATAAATATTCCTGAATATATCTGATATCTAAATTCAAATATACTATTTGTATGTGGCTGGCATAAGTACAGAATATTTTGAAGGTTTCTATCTATTTGGATGTGCTGATGATGAATTATGAAAAATATTATTATAAAAAAGAAATGATAGGGCAGAATATATTTGCACCATGCTGTCAATAAGCCAATACATTTTAAAAATTACAAACAAAACTTTATACGATTTACTAAATACAAAATTATTTTCTTGTGCGCTTCGGTTTTGATATTATGGCTTCTACGAACTCAACTTCTGCACTACTATCTGATGATGTATTTTGAAAGAAAGGACTTTGATTTGATTCTAATGTCTTTTCTGGAAGAGGTTGAATAACTTCTTTTCTATCCTCTTCTTCATTGATTATAGCTTGATTATCTTCTTCTAGATCATCAATTTCATCTTGCTCATCATTAATGTTGTAATCATTTGTTTCGTTTTCTTCAATAATTTCGAATTCTTCAGTTGAAGTAGTTATTTCCTTTTTCTCACTAGATTCAACTGCAAACTCATATAATTCTGGTGGTTTCATTGCTTCAATTGATTCATCCTTGAAAAATATACAAGTATCTGAATCATCAGGTTTAAATTTATTAACAGTGTTGCCTTGTTTCTTGAGATGCTTAATCTGTGTCTTTACACCAACACTTTGAGATTTTTTAGGAGATTTTTGAGTAATTGGTTGCTGTGTTAATTTACTTATTTTCTCTGTTTCGTTTTCAAACTCTTTTAACGCACTAAATCTTGATTGCTTGTTTCTCTGAGCAGTAGTTGGTTCGTATTCGAATATAGACTTTCTTGAGTTTAGCTTCTGTTTTAACCGACTTTTATCCATTTTAAAAAAAGCGGGCACCCCCTAATTTATAAAAAATATCGTTTTATAAAAAAAATGGAAAACGAATTATATGTGAATAATCTCGTTAAAATACGCACATTAATACATGAAAATTCTAAAAACAAGAATCCAAACTATACAAAAGAAGAACTCGATGGCTTAGTTTCGAATTTGGAACCAATGGATTTTGCATCATACGGAAAAGACATTTGCAAATTATATAGCTCTGCTGCAAAAACTCATAATAATGCTTTTTCAACAAATGTTCCTCCTCAAAATAATCCAGAATTTCCAAAATTCACTTTTCGCAAAATCAAGAAACAAACATACGACTTAAATATCGAAGGTACGTCCAAATACTATCCTACATATCCGGAATGGATTTGCAAATCATTCAAATAAGAAAAGTTATTTTATCTTGTTGTTTTTGTTTTTAAACTGATTGTTTACTTATTCCTTCATGCTGTTTTCATTAGTACAACTTAAGAAAATCTAATAAATATTGAATGTTGATATTGATTGAAAAAAGTGTGTTCCTGAGCACGATTGACTGCTTAAACAAGACTTTCATCTAAGAATAATAGTATTCGTGTTAAAAATGTCGGATATTACTTATGAAACTTTCATCACATTCAGTCGATTCAAAATTGTACATCGAAACCAAGATAATTCTCCTAACAATATATTTTTAGTAAATTTAACTAAGTGGTTTCATATCCAAGTATGGAAATTATGTTGGCAATTTTTTATATAATTTTGATGAATTTTGATCCAGAATATTACGCTCAGAATGTTGATGAGTGGTGTAATGATGATGACTTCATAGAAACACACACAAGGAAGCAAATTATAACAATTTTAGACAGATCAATTCTTTCTGGAAAACAATTTCATAAAATTTTCTCTATCGCAACATCATTTTTTGAACAAGAAGACATCATTTCTATGCTAGAACATAGTCATGTCGATTTCAATAATCAAATCGAAAACATATCTAAAGTGTTAGAATTTTTTGGAATTTTTTTCAATTTGCAGATATTTTACGATATGCGTTCAGTGCTTGGATGTATATCTCTGAATACTGGAACAAATGAAGACAAAGTATTGCCGAATAACATCAAAGAATTGGAAAAATGCCAAAAATCTGAATTTTACTTTGATGAAATATACAGAATCCTTGCAAAAGCAGCATCACAGAATGATGAACAGACAATAAAATACGCAATTGATAATAAATACACCGAAGTTCGTGATGGCTACATCAAATCAGGTGCAGACGTAGCACTTTGGTCGGCAATGAAAGGAAATATGCGTCTTACTAATCTATTGGCTAAGAATGGTGTCAATATGACCACTAGAGACCAAGTTAATGCATCAATTCTACATTTATTTTGTATAAAAGGAAATTCAGAGGCAATTAAGTTTGCTTTAAAGTTTATAGATAAGAATGATGTAGATAATAATGGTTGGACTCCTCTTCACTACGCTGCTTATTATAATAACTCTGAAGCTTGTAGATATCTCTGTAGTTTGCCTGGGATAGACTTATATGCTTATAATAATAGTAATAGAACACCTTTGGCTGAAGCTTCAAACTCATTTAGAAATTGTGGCGAAACTATTGAAATTCTTAGAAGAAGTGGTGGAACTTTTTGAATTAGTAAAGTTTTATGTTTGTTTTATATGAAATTAATTGCAATTTAAAAAAAAAGGAAATTATCTTATATTCAATAGAAATATAATAAGGATATTAATTATAATAGTGCTAAAAGCATCCTTGAGATCAAATGTGGCATATTTTTTAGTTCATTACCAACTTACTGATTCATAATTTTCTAAATCTAGCTGATTAAGATTATTTTCATACTTTTAGTGCCAAGTTATCAAATATTGAGAGAATTAATGCGTGTTTATTGTATCTTGTGAAGGAATATTAATATTTTATACCATGTGGAAGAAGATCTTCTGCTGAACCTTCTTATTTATTATATCTTGGTGCAAGATGAAATGTGGTCTTTCTTTATCTTTTTTATTGATATTTATAAATAGACTTTTTATATCTTTTATTTATATCATTCGATTTTTGGAAATTCAAGTGTTTCTAAACTATAATATTCTGCTGCAATAAGAATGGCTGTCTTTCCATCTATATCTTTATCTTTTATATTTGCACCATGTGAGATAAGAACCTCAGATATTTCTTTTCTATTACATTCTAGTGCATAATGAAGAGCAGTTTGCCCATAATTATCTTTTTCATTGAAATATGCACCATTTGAAAGGAAATATTCGCAAATGGATGGAATATTAAACATTATTGAATAAATAAAACATTTGTTAACATCATTAGTATTATCATAATAAACTAAAAATGATTCAAGATTATGATAGAATTGAGAATTATATAGCGAGATCTTTATACTGTATTCATTCATCAAGAATGCGACAAAATCAATTTTGTGTGAAATAATTGCAATTCTTCATACATTCATCATCTGGTTTCTGATATTTCAAACATTCGCTTATGATCTCTGAATTTCCACCTAAAAATGATCGATCTAGACATCTTTGAGTTATATTCGATTTAAATTTTGTGCTCAAAAACTTGAAACAATCAACTGCTCCATGATAACAGCATAATTCAAGTAGCGAACAATAATTGAAGTAATGCATTGGATCTAATTTGCTTTCAAGTATTTGTTTTTATTAAACCATTCCCTTTCTGTGAATGCAATGAATGTGTTTATATCATTATACATAATTGCTCTGTAAATTGAGATTTTCTGAAATAAATTTTTCGAAATTAGTAAACGTGTTTAATTTGATTCCATATTTTTTATAAAACAGGATGTTTGAAATAGGATTAGCATTAGTGACTTTTATGACATCATAATCATCGAATATATGTATGGCAAGAGATAAGTATGACTTTGCATAGCGGTTTTTATGTGGAATGATATTTAGAATATCTTTCATAATATTTTGGGGAAGCTCTTTCTTAGAAAATTCAATTCTGTCTTGATGATTCTGTAAATCGAGTTTAATTCTTCTCAATCTTCCGTTTTTAATTGATATATTGCATTATATGAGTTGATGTGGTATATGTTTATATTTCGTAATTCACTGAAATTATTTGGGTGAATGTCATGAACAGACATGAAAAAAATTAAATTTATCACCAAAAAATATGTATTAACCAATTATCTATATCTTTTAATAGTTTTTTATTTTCCAGCTATCATTGAGGATGACTCATTAACTTTTTACCTTAGAAAATTAGGATATAAAGCTTATATGCCAAAAAAAATGAGATAATGTCAGAAAGTTGTAAGTGCACCCTTAAGTCTTCACAAAAATGGCAAAAATTTTTTAAAAAATTTAAAAAGATGAAAAATATGCTCTACAATGCATAAAAATATTAGTCTACCATTTTCGGAAAAATCAAGTCAAATTAAATAAATTAAATATCGGTATACAATGTGGTATTTTTAAGTGGTCACTAAAAATTAAAAATAATGATCAATATAGTATTGATATACATCATAGAATATATATTTCAAGGGACTTTAATTTTTGTCATGTTATAGTGAAGCTTTAAATTTTCCATCAATTTTTTTAATAAGGAAGTCAATTTGGAAAATTGTTTTCACTTTAGGAGAATATAATTTTCCATTTGGAAAATTTAAAAAGTGAGACGCGCAGGATTCGAACTTTTTTAAAAGTTGATTTAAATGAATTTTAGTGTGGAATATAAGGATAATATCATATTTAAAATAAGAATATACTAGTTTAGGTGGTATTAATTTTTTCGATAAATTTGAGAGTATGTACGTTTAGGGCATGAAAAGTGTCAATTCGCTCAGCGAAAGCTGAGCTAGCTTCGTTCTCGAAAGAATAAGGAAGGAGTGAAGGAGAATGATACAGAAGTTGACACATTCATATCATTTCAACAAATTTTGATCAAATTGAAATTCAATAAAATTCAATTCAATTCATATCCTTCAGTCAGTACATTGATATCCTTCTGCATCACAATGATAATTCGGGCATCAATAGTTCTACAACTAACTCAGAAAAAACAAGATTATTACTTCCAGCTTACAGCTTTTAAAAAGTTTCGATGATAAAAATCACTCTACTCTCGTTTATCGACATATGGTGATAGTAGGTAAACGTATTCTTATCGATATTAATAAAAATATTTTTACTAAAATCTGAGCCAATTACAGAGTTATTCATAAAGTCGATGATAACTGTAATTACTTCATCTTTGTTTTATATTTGAATAAACAATTTAATTTAATTTGCATAATTTTTTTTAGTTGAAAGACAGGAAACTTAGTTGAGTTTGTATTATTTTTATCGTTTAATTCATCGTATCAGTGAGTGATCCAGATATTTAAGATATTTAGAAAAAAAATTATTAATTTGATTAACAAATTTTAATCAAAATAGCAAAAATCTATTTGATAGCTGTAAACAAACAATAATTTTTATTTCAAGCAAAATCACTTATTTTCATCTAAACGTATAAAATTGTCAATTTTATGAAAATAAATTGAAAATCTCATGAAATGTAAAGGAGAGTAATATTTTTCAATTTTCTTTTTTTCTTTGTCTCAAATATTTTCTGTTGGGAATTTTCTTGTTATCAAAAAATAATTTTAATATTTGTTTATTTCATTACATACAATAAAATTTTAAAAACTCTATTTCTTCTCAAGAAAAATTTTTCCTTCATATAAAGAAACATTTTGTTCTCCATTTGATACTGAGTCTAAATCTCGATTTTTGAATTTTCTTTTTTCCAAATTAGAAGTTTAATTCAAATTTTCAATAGTTTATATATTTTCTCAAACCGTCTCAGATTTTCTCACTTTTTAGGGATTTTCTCTCAAAATATACAAAAATAGTAATATCAATACATGTGTCTAATATACTTTAAAACCATCGTGACAAAATTCAAAAACGAAGAGTTCTTCTCTCCAAATTTTTTTCAAAATCAAAAAAATGAGATAAAAAAGTACGTTTGGAAAATTCATTTTTAGCATTTTAGGAATTTTCTCACTTTTCTTCCAAATTGACATCCTTATTTTTAATAAAACAAAAACAAAAATGGTAATAATCCAACTAAAGAATCATATGTTGGAACGGGTTCATGGTTTCAAAATGAATGAAAGCGTTATATTAACTGTAAACAATGTAGAAATACAAATAAATAAATATTTCGCTGTTGCATTTTCACAAAAGATTTACAATACTTATGTATTAGATAGCAATACACTAAAGATTGATATCGAAACAAAAGGAGATTCACAAGAAACATATGATGTGTTGAAATAAATATTACAATATAATAAAACAGAATTTGAATGCAATGATACAATATCGAAAGATCTTTTCTACATCGGAAATAAACTCGGAATACAAGAACTGATTGATCCATATAAAACACAGGTTCTCGACAAAATGGTTCTTGACAAAAATAACTGTATTCAACTACTCGAGATTTATTTTGATATTTGTTCTGAGAGTAAAATATCAGAATGTGTTGATTTCATTTCTTCTCATTTCTACGAGATTGATCAAAATGATCTAAAATCAATTTCGAAGAAACTCTGATTTGATATCATTCAAAGTATTTTTCATAATGATAAACTATTAATCAAAGATGAGGATTCGATAGCAAATTTCATATTTTCTCTCGTGAACGAAAGTGAAATTTTCTCACCACTCGTTGAATGCATTCATTTCGAATTTTGCAGTGAAAAAGTCATCAATAAAAATCTTGTCATTAGTGATGAAAACAACTATTTCAATATTATCAAATCTCTTCATGATTCTTGAGATCAAATATCTTGATGAACTGTCAAGAAAAGGAGATCAAACTTTATTTGAAGCGGTATGTGAAAAAATAGTGAATGATGATGAAATTCGTAATAATATCTTATTCGAATCATGTGAAAAAGGTAATCTTAAACTCGTTAAATCTCTTATTGAACATGGCTGCGATAAAGAAGTTAAAAACAAAAATAATCAGACTCTACTCAATTTAGCATCATCAAATGTAGTCATGACAAAATTTTCTTGTAGTCAAGAAAATACGTAGACCAGGTTCATCAGGGGTTAAAAATTTTTAACTTTATATATAAAAATATTGAATTAAACCCAATTGGGCTTTATGTGCAGCCTTAAGGGTGGCTTTCGAGCAAATTATCTCTTTTTAGCTCAAGCGAGAATAATTATCATTTTGGAATTCAAGGAATATGATGTTAATTTTAACAATTAAATTCTTCGTTTTCGTCTTAGTAAAACACCATCTCGACCACTATTTTTGGAACGACGATAGGTTCTATTTGGCCTGGCCGGGACCCATAAATATTCCAACAATTTTTTTGAATAAAACAAAAACAAAAATGGTAATAATCCAACTAAAGAATCATATGTTGGAACGGGTTCATGGTTTCAAAATGAATGAAAGCGTTATATTAACTGTAAACAATGTAGAAATACAAATAAATAAATATTTCGCTGTTGCAATTTCTCAAATGATTTACAATACTTATGTATTAGATAACAACACACTAAAGATCGATATCAAAACGAAAGTAGAATCACAAGAAACATATGAAGTGTTGAAAGAGATATTACAATATAATAAAACAGAATTTGAATGCAATGATACAATATCGAAAGATCTTTTCTACATTGGAAATAAACTCGGAATACAAGAACTGATTGATCCATATAAAACACATGTTATTGACAAAATGGTTCTTGACAAAAATAACTGTATTCAACTACTCGAGATTTATTTTGATATTTGTTCTGAGAGTAAAATATCAGAATGTGTTGATTTCATTTCTTCTCATTTCTACGAGATTGATCAAAATGATCTAAAATCAATTTCGAAGAAACTCTGATTTGATATCATTCAAAGTATTTTTCATAATGATAAACTATTAATCAAAGATGAGGATTCGATAGCAAATTTCATATTTTCTCTCGTGAACGAAAGTGAAATTTTCTCACCACTCGTTGAATGCATTCATTTCGAATTTTGCAGTGAAAAAGTCATCAATAAAAATCTTGTTATTAGTGATGAAAACAATTACTTCAATATTATCAAATCTCTTCATGATTCATTACTTAGATCAAGAAATAACAAACACGATCATACTCGTTATTTCATTCCACGCGATAGTCAAGACGTTTATAAATATCTTGATGAACTGTCAAGAAAAGGAGATCAAACTTTATTTGAAGCGGTATGTGAAAAAATAGTGAATGATGATGAAATTCGTAATAATATCTTATTCGAATCATGTGAAAAAGGTAATCTTAAACTCGTTAAATCTCTTATTGAACATGGCTGCGATAAAGAAGTTAAAAACAAAAATAATCAGACTCTACTCAATTTAGCATCATCAAATGGTCATCTTGAAGTTATTAAATATCTTATCTCTGCTGGAGCTGATAAAGAGGCAAAGGATAATGATCACAATACTCCACTCATTTATGCATCTCAAAACGGTCATCTTGAAGCTGTTAAATATCTTATCTCGGTTGGAGCTGATAAAGAAGCAAAAGGTTATTGGGATTATACTCCACTTTTTAAGGCATCAGAAAAAGGTCATCTTGAAGTTGTTAAATATCTTATCTCTGCTGGAGCTGATAAAGAAACAAAGGGTTCATTTAAATATGCACCACTCATAATAGCTTCAGAAAAAGGTCACCTTGAAATTGTTAAATATCTTATCTCTGCTGGAGCTGATAAAGAAACAAAGGATCAATGTGATTCCACTCCACTATATCATGCATCATGGAAAGGTCATCTTGAAGTTGTTAAATATCTTATCTCTGTCGGAGCTAATAAAGAAACAAAGGATAATACTGAATCTACTCCACTCATTTGTGCATCAGAATATGGTCATCTTGAAGTTGTTAAATATCTTATCTCAGTTGGAGCTAATAAAGAAGCAAAGAATAAATATGGAGGTACTCCACTCAGTTATGCATCATGGAAAGGTCATCTTGAAATTGTTAAATATCTTATCTCTGTCGGAGCTAATAAAGAAACAAAGGATAATAAAGGAAATACTCCACTCTTTGAAGCATCATCTGCTAGTCATCTTGAAGTTGTTAAATATCTTATCTCTGCTGGAGCTAATAAAGAAGTAAAGAATAAAGAGGGGAAAAAAGCATCTGACTATGCAATTACCAATATAAAACATTATATTGAATCTTTGTGATCTTTGTGAATGAATTTTAATTAATCATTTATCAAAAATAGATGAAAAAATGAATAAATATTCAATTTTTGGAACTTAGTCTAAAACTAATACTAAATCGGTGATGAAATCTGGAATAGGCATCTCACGTCTGGAAAAGTGGTACTGACACATGAAGAATGTCTCAAATTATAAAGAACAAAAAAGAAACATGTTTATTTATAAAATAACAAAATAAATAAATTAAATTATTCCTAATTTTGTGCAAATGTTTGTATAGTCCATATCTATTTTCGTGCACAATGTTTCGAAATCGAACAAGCTTATTATTTGCTTGAGAGTCTTGTTCTCTGTTTGTTTCAATAGACCTCTTTCTTCAGCAATTTTCTTGATGTGATATGAGTCCAAAACCATGTTTAGTTCCTGCATCACACAGAGAGCTGGATGAAACTCTTCCGCAGAAAGGAAGAGGCAAATTGACTCTTTCTTGTCTCCTTTCTTGTAAAGGAACAAAGCCATCTTGGAAAGTATTGATTTCTTTTCTTCTTTTCCAAGTAAATAAATGAAACTCTTCGCCATATCGAGCTGACCAACTTCAATCAAATAATCAGCCGCTGCATAGTCATTTTTAATTATTCTCATGAATAAGCTGCCATCTTCAAAACGATTTGCCAAGAAAAGAGAAGAAGCAATTGATTTCAAATGTGCAATGAATTTTTCATTTTGTAAATTCGATGAAACCAAACAACCACTCAATGCTGCATTTTTAACAAAACCATTACTATTTGGTCCAATTGATAACAAGTAATCTGATGCCTTTTCGAAGTCATCACTAAATAAACTTGCATTGAATTTCATTTTTTCAATTTTTTGAGAAGATTTTGTAATTTTTTCTAATAAAATCAATAAAGTTTTTGGAACTTGCAAAGTATTAGATCCGCAAGAGTATTTCAACATTACTGATAAAGGAGGATTACTCTTCATTGCATTCCTTATTTCGAAACTATCAAATCTCAAATACTCGGATTCATAATTGACAATTTTGTTTCTGTTGAAATTGTCAATTTTTGGAGGTGACAAAAATGAAATTCCTGAAGAAAGTTTTGAATAAGGCTGCCAATCCTTTAATCTTATCAATCTAGTAACACCATCTGTACATAGAGCTAAGACCGAATCATTGTCATATCCACAAGGAGAAGCCATCAAAACAGGAATTGGACAAATTCTAACTCTTTTGTCCAAAATAAACAATTCATTCTTTTCACTTATTCCTAAAATTACTCTTCTTTCACTTCTTTTATTTTGTTTGTCATGATTAATTTTCGTTTCTCTCAAATTTATTCTATTTTTATCTCCATTCATCGAAGAAATTTGATCTTTATCATTAGAAATTTCTTCAACATTTTTGTCACTTTTATGATTTGTGTCACTTTTAGAAATTTTTTCATTTTTATCATGATTTTGAGTTTTGTCACTTTTTGAATCATTTGAAATTGGTTTATTTTGGATTATTTCTTCATTTGGATTATCTGTTGTTGGTTCATCAAGATTAAGTTGGTTGTTATCATCGTTTAATGATATTGAAGATAAATTTTCGCAAGAAGAATCATCGTATTTCATTGATTCGTTACTCACAGATCTGTTTACACCTTGTGGATAGTCTAAGTGTTGTATATAGTAAATATCTTTCATAGTTGTAACAATTCTTGTAGAATTCTGTTGTCCAATAGTAAATAAAATAATTGTTCCGTTGTCAAACGAGATACAAATGTCATTTTTATTGATAGATAATGATCTTGGAATCGCATCATTGTTGTTGATCTTAAATTTACCTGTTAGTTTTTGAAAACCGTTTTTATCGTAAGGATAAACCAAAATGTCATTGTTAGACAAAATAAACGATATCAAACCTCTTTGGCTGTCAGAATTTTCATCCAAAAAGAAGTCAATCAACGGTTTTTGTAAAATTTGAGGAATTTCTTTGTCATTTATGAACAAGCTCAATAAATCTTTCTCCCTTTGAACAGCTAAACCTCCATTTCTTGTTGCTTTGATCTTTCTGATGGTTTTAAGCCTGCTTTTGAATTCTGACACTTTACGTGTCAAAATGTCGATTTTGCCAACTGAATTTTTTGTTGCCCAGAAAATTAGTGAATTCTGGCACATGAAAACATATTCTATTCTTTCTTTAGACACAGAATATCTCTGTATTTGATTGTCATTGAAATTTCCGGTTATGACAAAACCGTCGGAATTTCCAAGAACGTATTTATTTTTGTAAGAATCAGAACAAGAAATAGATGAAGGAAAATAAGGTAGTAAACTAACAATGGCGTTCTTTTCGACATCAAACAAAGAAAAACCGAATTTATCTAAATAAATTAAAAGTTTTTTGGGAACTAAAAAATTCTGGAAAATTTTTGACATTTGTGAAGTGACATATTTTGGTTTTATCTCATTGTCAAGTGCATATTTGAGTTCTTCGTTTGCCTTGTATATGTTGATAATGCCATTCTTAAGAAGAGTTGTGAGTTTTAAGTAATCTTCTTGGTCTTGTAGAAAATTTACAAAAGATGAGCCAACTCCTCGTGTTACAATTAAAGTAATGATGCTCTGAGTATGCAAATGAAATAGACTGATCTCGTTTTCAAAGATAATGAAGATGAAATCAGGAAAATGATATGAAAATTGGGCATCAATTAGTTGATGAGTCTTAGAAAGCTCCAAGACATCGTATTTCTGCTTGGGAAGTGTTGTTGGCAAATCTGTACTATAAAAAGCTAGTTGAGATGATGAATTTGTCAATAAAATATCAACTTTTTCATTAAATTGAACAGAAAATCTATTAAAAGGTACTGGTAAGCTTAAATCCCATTGTAAAGACATGTTTACGTAGAAGTCTGAATGTTTATTTGAAGAATGTGTTAATGATACTAAATGATTATTTGAAAATAGAGCGAAAAGCGTACTTTTAACCCATTTTAAGTCAATACATGAAGAATTTTGATTAGGAAAAACTATAGCTGAACCAAAACCGGCTCGTAAATCAACATCCCATAAAATTATTCTGCCAGAATCATCTCCAATTGCTAAGCGTCGGGAAGAATTATGAAATTTAATCGAAGTAATGGACTTTGCTCTGAAATTTGTGCTATATAATCGTTTAATTTGAGAATCTTCTATATTAAAGAAATGTATTGTAGAACCTGTTGCAAATGCAGCAAATCCGCAAGGTCCCCAATCCATTGCATTTGAATTTTCAGGAGAAAGCTCGGATGAAAATAGAGATATCCATCCATTTTCATCCGTCATAAAAAATTAGTTTTATGTAAATAAAATTTGGAATCATTTATAAACTCACTTAATAAAACGAATTATATTTTACCAAGATTTCTCTTTGATCAAATTTTGAAAAAGTTTGATCAAGAATTGCAATAGCAATATGGTGGATAATACCTTAATCTAGTTTCTTGATTGAATGCATGATCAAAGCTTGTATAAAAAAGATAATGAATATAGCTTTTAAATAGAACTACAAACAAACATTTACTAATATATCTAAATTAACATATAAATACAAACAAGAATGAGATGCTCAATTAAATTGAATGAGCAAATAAAAGATAAAAATTTGAAATAATAAGCAAGACTATGTCAAGCAATCGAGTAAACTTATTCGGGTATGAGGTGGTTTGATTAAAACGTGGTGTAAAACGTTAATGTGGTGATTCTAAATTTGTAAAAAATAAATAATTTGATTCAAAAGGATTGTACATTCATGAAAATGGTGCCAAAAAGCGAACTTTTGAAGAAGTGGGATTATTATTGTTGTTGTTATTATTATTATTTTGATTTCTTCTACTTTGATTTGGAGTAACAAGAGGAGTTCTGTATGGGTTGATGTTGCGTCCTCTAGATCTGCCTTCACGTAAGTTTTGAGCTGTTTTAGATCTTTGCGGAATATTTGAATCTTGTTTCCAAGAAACAAGTATTTCTGGTGCCATCTGGTTGCATATTGAATTTAGAATTGCGTCTGTGTCAATTTCGATATCTTTCTTTTCAAATTTGCTTCCAAAGTTGGAAAAAAATGGAGATTTTGTTGATTCTACACAAGTATCTGCAAATGTAGACCTCCAATGGGCAGCTTCCATGATCAGATATGGATCATCGAAGACGCTCATCAAAAAAACAAAATCTTGATTTCAAAATTTTGATTGAAAGAAACAGTTTTTGAATAATTTGCATTGCATATATTTTAATATAATGCTATTAATACAAGATTTTAATTTTTATTTATGATAAAAAAATTTATTTTACTAACGTATTTTTTGCTCCCTCAAGCTTTTTACAATATTATAAGTGCAGGCAGCTGGTTTTAGGGAATTTTTTGTATTAAAGCTCTCCATTTCAAGGTAAAGATGTGAAAATAAGCCCTCCATAGTCATATTTTTATCATTTTATTCATTCGTATTTGATTTTACTAACTATGTTGTAATGTTTGTTTTAGCAATCAGATCGTATAGACATATCTTTCATTCTAAACCACAGTACATAGAATTAAATTTTCCATATGATTATAAAAATGTTAAAAGAATAAATTAATGAATCCGAAAGACATGTGAGAGTATGTGACGTGTTGTGATTAATTTTAATATATAATTTAAAATCAAATTTTTATAACAATAAAGATTGCAATAAATGATTAATACATAATTAGCTGGAGCGAATAGCTTCAACTAACTTTTGAATTGTAAATTCTGAATCAATCTTTTGTAAAATTTCAGTATCATCTGTAGTTGGTATTTCATCCATATGGTAATCCATCCATGGATATTCGTTTGAGCTATTATTAATGTCAAAATATGAACTGAAGAAAGCTGAACCAGTATCTGAATTATTTCTTGTATCTTTTAACGATACTCGTTCTACTTTATGAAGTGCGAGTGGAGAGCTTGGTTTGTAATAAGGATCGTTGCTTGATTGTGCCGAATCATTTTCCGTATCTGTTTCGTCGTCATCTTTATCGTCAGTTTCTATGATATCGTGTGTAACGTCTTCGATTGAAATAGGATCTGGCGGAGTTTCAAGATTGAATAAAAGAGGGCTTTGATTTACATCTGGTTCGTCTTTTGTAACTTGAGATATATCAATTAATATACTAGGAGAATTATCACCATCTTGATTATCACCATTATTATCCCAAAGATTTGCTGTTAATGGACTATCCATCATGAAAAAATAGAAAATTTGTTTAGAAAAAAAATGTATCTTTGGACCATTATAAATACACATTGAGACATAATATAATGATGGGGGCTTAGTTCAATGGGAGAATACAGGTAAAATCTCTTATTCCCTTTTTAGCAATTCTGGAATTCTTATTCTGTGATCCTGGTTCGATTCCAAGAGTTCTTATTTTTTCCAAAAGCACGATATATGATATGTTGGCGTAATATCCAGATTGAATCTCTTACTAATCATGTTGTGCGTTTTTGGAAGACTTTATCACGTGAATTCATGGGCAACTTCATCAGGATGAATATAATATAACATATCATATCTAACAAACTCTAATGCAAAAAAAATGCACAAAAACGATTATTTTATATTCAATTTACTCTCAAAATGTAAAATCTTCTTCGAAAATACCAGAAAATTAAAGAATATCTTATGTAAGAACATTATTTTTTGGCACCATGTGAAATAAGAACTTCAGTAGTTTCTATACTATTACATTCTGTTGCAACATGGAGTGCGGTTCGTCCAGATTGATCTTTTTCATTGATATTTGCACCATGTGTAATAAGAACTTCAGCGGTTTCTTTATTATTTTCATGTGCTGCAATATGAAGTGCGGTTTTTCCATATTCATCTTTTTCGTTGATATTTGCACCATGTGAAAGAAGAACTTCAGCAACTTCTTTACTATTATGTTCTGCTGTAATATGAAGTGCAGTTGTTCCACGTTCATTTTTTTTCATTGATATTTGCGCCATGTGAAATAAGAACTTCGGCGGTTTCTTTTTTATTATATTGTGCTGCAATATGAAGTGCGGTTTCTTCATATTCATCTTTTTCGTTGATATTTGCACCATGTGAAATAAGAACTTCAGCAGTTTCTTTTTTATTATATTGTGCTGCAATATGAAGAGTGGTTCTTCCACAATCATCTTTTTCATTGATATTCGCACCATGTGAAATAAGAAGTTCTGCGATCTCTTCACAATTATTTTTTGTTGCATAATGAAGTGCAGTTAGTTCAAGTCTATCTTTTTCATTGATATTTGCGCCATGTGAAATAAGAACTTCAGCAACTTCTTTACTATTATATTCTGCTGTAATATGAAGTGCGGTTTCTCCATATTCATCTTTTTCGTTGATATTCGCACCATGTGAAATAAGAACTTCGGCGGTTTCTTTTTTATTATATTGTGCTGCAATATGAAGAGCGGTTTTTCCACAATCATCTTTTTCATTGATATTCGCACCATGTGAAAGAAGAACTACAGCAGTTTCTTTACTATTATGTTCTGCTGCAATATGAAGTGCAGTTAGTTCAAGTCTATCTTTTTCATTGACATTTGCGCCATGTGAAAGAAGAACTTCAGCAACTTCTTTACTATTATGTTCTGCTGCAATATGAAGTGCGGTTTTTCCATATTCAGCTTTTTCATTGATATTCGCACCATGTGAAAGGAAGTATTCCAAAAAGGATTGAATATTTAAAATCGGTGAATAAACAAAGCATTTGTTTATATCATCAGTTTGATCGAAATAAACTAAAAAGGATTCAATATTATTGTAAATTCCACAGTATTCTAAATCGATGTCTATATTGTATTCATTCATCAAGAATGTAACAAAATCAATGTTGTGGGAAATAATTGCATATTTCATGCATTCTTTTTTCGGTTTTTTGTATTTCAAACATTCACTCATGATCTCATTGTTTCTTCCTAAAAATGAAAATCCGAGACAATTTTTAGTTATTTCTGCGTTGAATTTTGTTCTTAATAACTTGAAACAATCAACAGCTCCATGGTAACAACATAATTCAAGTAATGAATATCCTTTGTCAGAGTTTGGATATAAACTGCTTTCAAGTTTTTGATTTTTATCAAATCCTTCTGTTTCAGTGAATAAGATGAATTTTTCTATGTCATTATTCATAATTGCTCTGTAAATTGTATTTTCTGTATGAATATCGAGTTTTTCAGAATTAACTTCTTTAAAATCGGCTGATTTGTCTAATTTAATTCCGTATTCTTTATAAAACAGGAAGTTTGAAATAGGTACAACACTTCTGACCTCTGTGACATGGTAATCATCAGATATGAGTTTGGCAAGGAATAAATATGACTTTGTATAGCGATTATTATACGGAATGATATCTAAAATGTCTTTAATAGCATTTGTTGGGGGATATTTCTTTGAATCAATCAATTCTGTTTTGATCATTTTATAAATTGTCTTTAATTCTTCTTCTTTTTCCGTTTTTAGCTGATACAATGCAAGATATGAATCGATGTAGTACTTATAGATACTTCGTAATTCGTTGTATTCGTTTAGATCAACGTCATGGTCCGACATTAATAATTTTTAAAAAAGACGCATTTGCAATCTACCATATGAAATACCTCTTAAATTCATTAGAAGAAAAAAATATTACGTTATACATGTAGAAAACAATGATTTCGGATAATCGCAGAAGATTAAAATCACAGAATTAGTAGATAGAATGTATGATGAGATGTATTTATGGCTATTTCTTCACAGTTTTGAACAATTTCAATGAATTTTGATCTTCAAATTTGCATGAGTATGACTTAGAATAATATCATTAAGTGAATAATTTATACACATAATAATAGAAGGTTAGGAATGATATTCATTGAGAATGAGTTGAATATATGAAATTGATTTTCAAATAAAAAGATATTTCATGAATCTTTATCGATAGAAATCTGTCTCATAACAAAATTAAACCAATACATTGATATCATGACTCAATTAAATGTCTGGTTCACAAATCTGGAGAATGTGAGGTAAAAAACAAAACTCCTCTCGATATATGCTGAAAATGTAAGGTATAATGTATTCTTTGATTTTTCTAACTTGAATTCAATTTCTTGCATTTCAATGGATTTTGGATGTCTTCTGTTTTACAAAAGTAAAAAATGTCTGACGAAGAGGATTTCCAGTATGAATCGATTCTATCTTTATACACAAGTCCTCTAGATCAGCCCAACTCAGAAGATCAAAATTCTCGCTCTTTAATATCACTAGCTGAATATCTTGATTTCATTGATAATTCTATTGAACAAGAAAAAGAAAAAGCTATGGACTTCAAAATTATCGATCCATCCTCCTATGACGATAAGATATATATGTATCTTTATGTTCTTAATTACTTTTCTAAGGAAACTGATAATGAAATCTTGAAAAAAGCAATGGAATTCTCTGAAGAAACGAAAAAAGTTACAAGACTACTTATGAACAAGCTTAAGAAAGATAATTCAATATATGTTAACGATAAAAAATTCATTTCAGATATGAAAAGTCGTATTCTAAAGAACAAAGAACTTTTACAGCTCAGATTTTATAAGAATTCACTTAATGCAAAGATGAATGATATGATTTCTGCATTTCCTTTGCCATTATTAATAAATGAATTGAAAAGTACTTACTCCTCTGCCTTTTATAAGTACGATGATACATTAAATTACATTCATTATCCTCCTTTCGATAGAGCTTTATCAATGTATCTCCATCATTCGCATTTTTCAACAATGATCGACCCAATTTGCAGAGTTATAGCAGATGGCAATATCAAGTCAGCTCTCATAGCATTGTCAGAACTTACCGAATTGTTAATGGCTGAAATTCAGAACATTCAATCAATCGGAAAATATGTTATGTATATTTCACTTGTTAGAGTCATTTTCGAGGAGAGTTATGCTATATATCCTGAATTGAATCTATTTCGCAAGGCAAATCTACTATTTTTGTCTCGTTGTTATGCATTTTCTGACAGAACTATCGGAGATATTTCCGACATGCTTCCAAAGTATATTGTACGAAATTACACGAAAGGACTCCTTGTAAAGACTATGTTTAAGAAGAAATCTGTTGGTCTTTTGCAGGAATTAGAGTATATGATAAATCCTATTGATTTAATGATCCATATCTACAAATCATGCATGCACATTAAGCAATACTTTGCATCAGATGCAGGAATTCTTTCAGAAAAAGACATGAATGTGTTGTTGCTTTGTTTATTATCAATTGCTCCACCTTGCAACTGTGTTTCCATTGCAAGATTCTTATTCCATTGGAAGGATATCGCTCTAAAGCCGGAAGCGAAGGCCTGTATTGATAATTTTGTTGGAGCTGTTCAAATTTTATATAATTTTACAGAAAATGTAGAAGAAGAGGAAGAGGAGGAATGAAATTAGAAGTATAAACAATTGTTATGTGAATAAACCTTTATTTTGCTATGAAAAATGAAAATATCTCTTTCCAAATTTTTGAATATTGAAAACATAATCAGTATTCTATGGATTTCACTTTCTTACCAGTCAATATTGTTTTATGCAACTAGATTTTTGCCATTCTTTTAGATAAATTCAAGTGCTGACGAATGATCGAATTTATTGTTTAAACTTTTCATATAAATTTTATGGTGAATTGATTCTTATACTAGTAGAGATTATATATCTTGATTTTACGGAAGAAAATTTTACGACACATTTTTGTGAAAATTGAGCAATTTGAAAAACGATGAGAATTCTTTTGAAATATTATGTTATATCTAGTTTACAGTACTATTTAAATCGCGGTAGGATTAACCGTTATTTGTATTGAAACAAACTCCGGTAAAAACAAACAAAAAATAGGCATCAAGATTACATGGGAAAACGAAAAGCGAAATCGTCCATATGTGGAAATCTGACGATTGCATCTGCCTCTTTCCTATCATGGACACTTTTCATGTTTATAGTTGCATTCTTTATGTACATTTTCACAATTCAAGATTATAAACCGTCGATTTTAGTACTTTGCTTTCTATCAGTACTAATCATTATATCAACTATATCGATAGGAATCGGCTGTATTCCGATTTGCGTTCACCATAGAGTGTTTTACGTAATAAACGGAGTTTTGATGTTGCTAATTTTCCTGGTTTACCTGATAATTGTACTCATTTTCATGGTAAAAAGATCAGCCGTATATACTGCCGTTGGAAAATTTTGGGGTCACAAAGATTTTAAATTTGATTATTGGATTGAGAACCAATTACAATGCTGCGGATATCCTAAGCGTAATAACACAGCTTGTGATAAAAGACTCTACACCTGTGACGTTGTATTTGAATACAAATTCAAGAAACGAGTGAAATATATTTCAATAATTTTTATTCTCATTATCTTCCAACTTGCTGCTTCTATTGTTGGGTTTGTTTACTTCCACAGACTTAATAATGCGCGTGTCGAGGCTGATTCGGCAGAACAAAATCCGGAACCAGAAAATAAACCAGAAACTACAATTTCTGATTCTAAACTGATTCCAGAAGGATACCCAGGTGATGAAGAAGATAGTCCTCTATTTAATCAGCAACAGAATGATGAGAGTGATGAAGAAGAGGAAGAAACTCCTTCCGTCGAAATTAATCAGAAGGAATCAATTGAAGAAGAAGAAACCGAAGATGATGATGAGGAAGAAGATGAAGAAGAAATCAAAGTTTCAACTCCTCAACGCAAACATCGAAAATCTTAGTTTGTTTTTTGCAAAACTGATTGTTGAATCTGTTTTGATGTTTAATATTTATTGTTAGTAAATATCCATGCGATATTATTATATTTAATTAGTAATACCATGATAATTTTTTGAGAATTCGATAATTATAACGAAAAATAGCGTATTTTCACATCTAACAGATATTTTAGATATCAAATTATTTGAATTTTGCTTTCACATGATGCAAATATCAATTCTTGAAGAAAAAATCTTTTCATTGAACTTCCTGAAGAAAAAATCTTATCATTGATTAAAGCAAAAGCGTTCAATAAGCAAGTCCATGAGTCATTCTATGTCATATTACCGATAAAATTAAATGAAAAAATTATAATTTTACATTAATTAGTATAATCAAACATTTATTAATAAACATAATATAACATCTAATATTCATTGATTGTCTTCGATAAATCGTCAAGTCTTTTGGAAAGATCACGTATATCTAATTTAATAACAATTTTCATAAGTGTGTCTGTATCTAATGATAGAAAGCTATTTTTAATTTCTTCTATTCCTGTATTTTGGGCTTCTTCTAACGCAACTGATTTATTTATTGAATAATAAAGTTGTTTAAGTTCATCTGTTGGGAGATTTATAATACTATTATGTAATTTAGATAATGACTGGAGTTTATTTGCTTCTATATCCAATGCATTTACGTATTTTGCCATGTGTATGACTTTTGCTTTAAAAGATGGTGGTATTGCGCCTTCCAATAGTTTTTCAGAAGATATATCGTTTCTGTTATTAATTAAATCTTCATAAAATAAGCAAAGACATAATAATTGCGACATTTCTGATGACTCTATGGTAGGATGTGGAATCGAGTTCAATGTTAGCTCTAAATCTTCCAAATTTTCGAAAATTTCGTTTTGATAATTAATTCCCCATGGACATTGATTTATTTCGTCGAATGCATCATTAAGATCTTTTGCAATTCTGTTGAATTCATGAGTACTGTCTGCATATTTCTCTACTTTATACCTCTCATCAATCTTTTCCTGTCGAGACATTCAAGTTGACACTTTTTAAAAAATCAATTATGTCACTTTTTGTGATTTCTTTCCTGCATTATCATTAACAATTGCAAACTCGGGAGGATGTATCTATCAAGAATTTGTGTTTATTTCTCAAAAAATTTATTGAAATATTGTGATGTCGTTCCTAAGCACCTTCTTTAACAAAAATTTCTTGTCAATTCATATTCAATCTACTGCGTGCATTCTATATGCATGTGGTATGACAGTCGGTGCAATATTTCCTCAGTCACTAATAGATTATCGTATGCAAAACAACGAAGAAAATGAAATAACGAACGGCTATGTTGTATATTGGTTAATATTAGCATCAATTGTACTTATATTAATGTTTTATTTTAAGGAATACATGTTAATTTTCATTACAATTGACGTCGCTTTATATGGATGCTATTCATTTTACAAATTTATATTCTATTACATAGATTACATACAACCATCTAAGTTTTCAACCCCAATTGCGATAATATTATCTCTAATCAACGGAATTAACTGTTATATAACGCAAAATCAGATTGCTATCAATTCGTTTGCTCATGCTATGGCAATTACAGCTATTCAATCCCTTAAGATTTCGAAATTACAAACTTTATTATTTTTCGGAATTGGTTTCATGATTCATGATATTTATTGGGTATTTTATTCGGATAGAATATTCAACAAAAGTGTTATGATGGAATCTGCAAGATCAGCTTCCCATCTTCCAATTCTGATCTCCGCCGGAACAAAACATAACACTAACATGTTGGGTCTCGGTGACATCGTATTACCAGGACTTATACTAAATTTCTTCATCAGATATGATTATGTTGCAAAAACTTCTTCTTTCAAAATTGGAATTATTGGATACCTTGTTGGAGTCATTCTTGCAAGCGTGGCCGTTAATATAACTAAGTTTGGCCAGCCAGCGTTGCTCTATATCATTCCAAGTGTTTTGATATTCTCCATTTTAACTTTGAAAGTACAAAATAAGCTCACTGACTGTTGGTCAAATGGAACTACTTGTTTTGATACTGCAAGTGTTGATGGAACTATTGAACATCAAAGTTCTGATGAAATTACTCTTGAAGTTGTTGAAGAAGAGGAGAAAAAGGAATAACTATATTAGTGCTTGTGTTTGATTAATAAATGTTCTATTTATACCGTAAATTTTTTTCAATTAATTCTATCAGGGCTTCAATGTAATAATATACGAGCTTCTAATGACATTATTATATGACGCATTTTAATGAATAACAAAAAAAGTATAACAACCATATTAGGAACTATATAATGTTTTATAATAACTTTTTATCGACCAAAAATACTAACTCTTCACCTTAGAAATTGGGATATTAAGATAGGGATGTTAGAAAGTGGTAAATACACCCTTAAAAATTAAAATATTTTGAAAAGTTGACATAATGAATTTTTAACTAAGTAAATGATTGAGCTAATTGGTACAAATAGTTTTTAAGTAATCTCTTACTTTACCTGTTGCAAACATCAGTGCCGTTCTTCCATCATATCTCTTTGCTTCTTTATTAGCTCCAACTGTGATAAGATTTTGAACAACGTCAAGTTTATTATATCTTGATGCATAAATGAGTGGAGTATTTCCATGATTATCCTTTGCTTTCATATAATCAATTCATCAACAGAATGACGGAAAATTATTGGATACGATTTAAATAAAAAGTGACAAATTCCTTATTAAGAGATGCAATGTTCCAATGCTGCATTCAAAACAGTTAAATCCATTGCTGACCAGCTCGGTATTAAAATCAAAAATGATGCTCTTGCAGAATCTCTTGCTCAAGATGCTGAATATCGTGTTTCTAAGTTTATTCAGCCTTTAGTTAATTATTTTGAAAATTCAGCTGATAAATATCTTACTACAGACCATATAAATCATATACTTAGAGTACAAGCAATTCCTCCAATTTTTGGCTTCACAAATAAAAGTGAATTAGAGTTAACTCCACCACAGAGTACACAAGATACTACGTTTTATGCATACATCGATAAAAAAGTTGAATTGTCTCAAATTTGCAACGAAACAACTCAAACTCAAAATAGACCTCGTGAAATTAAGACATCATACAAATTAATTAACGGCCAGATAATAAACAATATGCGTACTAGTAATCCCGCATCAAATGACAATGGAATTAAGTCTATTTTTGACCAATTTAATAAAAGCGGTAATACATTTGATCCAATGTCCAAAGATAAAGAGCAAAATGAATTAACCGAAGATCTCAAATCATTTTACACCAGTATTGTTTCTGAATTATCAAATCCAGTTGAAAACGAAACTGTTTACGAAGAATTGAGCCAAACAGGTGGAATTCAACCACTTATTCCATACTTCTTACATTTCTTCTATTTCCAGATAGCTTCTTTTCTTGATAAAATTGAAGCGATGAAAGCAGTTGGAAAAGCCGTTGTAGCACTTCTTATCAACAGATCCGTTCAGATAGACATATACGCACACTCATTTATGAAGATCGGAATTTGTTTGGCCACAAAAGAAGTAATTACAAAATGCGCAAGAGAAGATTGCTATATTAGAGATATCGGTGCGAATATTGTAAGCTTGATAACAAGCAGATGCTTGAATAGCTTTCCAAACGCTGATATCGAATGTTTTAATTATTTCAACGATATAATCTTTTCAGAAAACAACTCGATTCATGTATTGTATGGAGCTCTTTCTGGTATATTTTCATTGGGTAATGATTATATTGAAAGAATTCTTCCGCATCTTCCTTTCATTTTGAGATATGCACACTCTATATCGTCTGGAGATGATACTTACTTCCACCTTGTTCGTAGATTGATCTGCGATGAACTTACAAGGATTCCTGGAAATTCTGAGCTTCATGATAAGGCTCAGCAGATTTACACCGTTATCAACTCTGAATTTAGAGAAACATTTTAATATCAACTGTAATTTAGCTATATCTGACTATTGTTTTATAAAGTTAACCTTTGTTTTAATAATTAATTATTAAAATTTTTTTTTCTTCAATTTCAATCATTAAGTTGACTAAATGCAACTCATCGGTCTCAGAAATAAGATTATTATAGAATTGATACTCCAAAATGGATCGATTACGAAAAGTTCGCGATCAAATATGTATATTCAGGATAATTATATGAGAAAAATTATTGTATTAGTTATAAGGATCATATTGATCATGTTTAAATTATGGCCATATAAAAATTTAAAATTCAAAACGGCTATTTTATAAAAAATGTTGAAAAATACTGAAAATGGGTATCCTCCACACTTTTTTGTGTGGCTTGGCACATTTGTATGCCCATTTTTATTAAATATAGCTGTAATTCTCTTCATTTGCTTTATTTACTCATCGTCAGCAGCTGAACATTCAACCCGCAATATTATTTGCTACACAACAATATGTGTTCACTACGTGATTGGCATGATATTCTTCGGAATATTCATATTTACAACAAATATTATAGAAACGATCGCAGATAATTACGTTTTAGGATTATTCGCAGCAATATGCATGACAATTGGTTATCCACTTTACTATTTGTTCACGCTTCCATTCATTGTTTACTATCTTATATTAGCAATCGGAACTCCTTATCAACTTTGGGAAAAAATGACAAAAGGAAATTGCTGCTCATGTTTAAGTTTATCAGATTCAAATCATGCAGGAATTATGGTGTTAAAGGGACTTTACATTGGTTTAGGCTTCTTTCTCTTCTTAATTCTTTATATTATCGTATTTATCATATCAATCCCGCTCCTTTATATTTTCCTCTTCCCATTGGGTTTCGGTCCATTTGGATGCTGTTTACATCAGTATATCCTCGAAAGAATGGAAACTATAGATAGACTTTGGCACTTAATGAATACTTGTGGCCGTATGGAAATTCAAGCGCATGCTTTCGGTCAGTGCCTAGCAATGATTATCCTTGCCGCTGTTGCACTTGGTTTGGTTGGTGTTCTAATTTGGTATCACTTATTACTTCTTATTGTAGCAATTTTGTGCTTCCTTCTTTGCTTCTATCCAGCAGTTTTCCCATGGGTTAGCTGGTCATCTAAGCAAATGGTATAACTTCGTGTGTTTTTTGTATAATTTATTTTTTTCTTTTTTACATGTATAAATATATCTAGATTAATATATAATTCTCGATGTTTTTGGATGCTTTGTCTGGTATTATTAATCTTAGAAATAAAAAATGAAGAAATTTCAAAATTGAAAAAAAAAATCGATTTGGTAAATATTCATATCATATATAGAGAGAGTTTAATATAACAAGATACATCATGTATTAGATGTTGTTGGTTCCATAAGAGAAGGAATATCTAAAACAGAAGATGGAACAGACTGGTATGATTCAAGCTGTTTGGAAGCAGCATCTCCTTCCTTAGTTTCTTCACCCTGGAAGGTTTTGCCATCCTTTAATCTCCACATCTGCCAAAGAGTTGTAGCTGCTCCAGAAAGAGCGATAAGGGATGTTCCTACATCTTCAAAGAGATATGTATTGAACATCCAATGGATATCGTCTTTCTTTGTGTAGTAAATAATTGTAGAAATTGTTGGAATAGGAATAGCCATTGTAAGAACTGATACAATTGTAGCACGATGTGGTCTGTCAACAGCTTGTAAATATGAAATAACCTGTTCATGGATAAGATACAAAGGTAATGTTGCCCAAATTCTCCAAATAGTGTTTGGAAGGAAGTTCAAAACATCTTTGTCCTTTGTAAACAATGAGAATATTTGACGTGGGAAAAGTGAAATGCCAACGGCGTTAATTACAGCCCAAATGAAGGAAATCCAAGACATATGGAATAGCAATGCCTTGATTCTGCTGTACTTCTTTTCACCATATGCATATGATGCTGGTGGTAAAAAGCCGGAGTCTAAGGCTGCTAAAATAGATAATGAGAACATGTAAAGTCTTGTCATTGTAGACCACATGGACATAACAACATCTTTAATTCCATTATGTTCAGCAACTGTATATACGAACTTTTGAAGGTAAATATGTGGAAATGCTTCGGAAAAGTTCAAAATGAACGAAGCGGTACCTGTGTTGAGAGCTTTCCATGTTTCCTTTGAAAACTTGGCTGTGAACTGTGGTCCTCTGATCATAATTGAGAGTTTTCCTCTCATCAACATAATCCACATTACAACTAATGGTACGAATTGCGCAAGAAGGCCTGATAATGCAGCAGACCAAACACCCCAGTGGAAAACAAAGAGGAATATTGGAAGGAATACAAGCATATCAAGAACTAAAGTGGCAAATTGGACCATACTGAAAAGCCAAGCTCTTCCTTCACCTTCTAATAAGCCGCATATTGTGTAATAGAAGAAACTGATGACTGAGCCGCCTGCCTGAATTGCCATATAAACAAAGGCCTTGAAAGCAATGCCATCGTCACCAGTAAGGAACTTAACTATTAATTTTGTGGTTGGAATGATGACAGCAGCAAAACCAGCACCGATTATGACTGAAAAGCGGAGTAAATCTACTACAACTTGAGAAATCTCAGAAAATCTTGAGGCCCCACATAAGTATGATATATGTGTGCTTGTGGATATCAAAAATAGGTTATAAAATGCAAATGTTAACATATCATAAAGAAACATTGAAGATATAACTTGTAAACCGGGTTCACCTAGTGCTCTACTAATCCAATACTGATTAACGATTGTATAAACATTGAATACGAGCTGTGATATTGTTGGTCCAATCGAAAGATCAAGGAAAGTTACAAGTGGAGATCTCTTTCCAAGTCTCTCTGCCTCTCCTGCACCATCCTGGAGTGTACTTGAGAAATCTGAATGCTCTATGAGAGGCTCGTTATTCATGGATGAAAATATGACCTAGGCTATTGAATTTTTTGTATTGAATAGAACCCGACTAAATTCCGGAATTTATATTGTATAATAGGTATAAATTAATATTAACTAGAAAAATGGATATGAATTTTATGAATATATTCATTGAATTTTTGATAATTAATTTATCAAATAAGATTAATAAAAAGCGATAAAAATTTTTTAATGCATACATAGTATAGAATATAACTCTTAGATTTTGTAGTTTTTATATGCATCATTTGTGAGAGATTCAAAATTGAATGCTACCAGTTACGAAGCTTTAAAAATGAAAGATTTATATTACCAATATATTAGACGATAATTAAATCCGATTTTTTAATTTTCAATATTTATAAAGCCGATAAATTCTATTGCTATCCTAATTATTTTGCATACATGAGATTGGCTTAAATAATAGGTATTCACTAATATATTTTTAGTAAAATAGTACGATGATTTCACAAATCATTGGGGAGGTTTTTTGTGATATGGAAAAATGTTCCTTGCTCAATTATCTCACTATTGGATGGACTTTTATCGAGCGAAATTTTGGCTGTAAAGACAATTCTGATATTGGTAACATGGTGATAAGAACAAATAGTCAGTTTGCATGGTTTATGATGAGATAATTTCGATTTAAAAAAAACATAAAAATTGATTTTAATGAGCGATTATATTTGAATATGCTCTCCTAATTTGAAGGAACTGTTTAAATCATGAATTGATCATGAATAATTTTTTTCAAAATAACAATTATAATTTCATATTCATTATAAGTTGAAAATATATCATAAAGACTTTATGAATGATAAATTCCTAAAAAACAAGTTAGTTTGTTTCTGAAAATAATAATAAAAACCAATTTAGACCCAATAATTTTTGGCGGGATAATTGAGATGTTTAACAAAAACAGAAAGGTGTCATTATTATCTATGACCAACAAGCAACTGACCTAGTCTGGATTACAATATTCGGTTCATCAAACCGCCAATTTGATGAATCAAGCCAAATTGTAACAAACCAGTTGTTGATTGCATGGTATCATTCATCGAACTGCCAATTTGATGAATTACATTTCTTAGTCATCAAAATAGTGGTCATGTTACTATTCGTTAGGTTAAATTACTTTTAATGCCCATTCAAGGAAGTACATGTCAGTTACAGGGTTTATAGTTTTACTCGAATTGAGTAAACCTCTTGGAAGCAATTACCACAAGAGCCAAGACTTCTCGTTTACAGACTTTGAAAGCCAGGAAGGAGCCAGGTAACAATAATGGGCTCTCTTATGATAATTTGGGATATTTATCAACAATTTGAGTTTCTACCTATTGTCTTCAATGAGGATTTTTTAGGCCAGAAGTACAATACCTGTACAGTCTAACTACTAGGGCAATGTAGTCAAACTGTGCACGTATTGAACTTCTAAGGCTATTATTTATCTGCTATTGACATCATTCTTTTGCATTACCGTCCTCTGGTCCTTAGAGGACCATAGATTCTGCGGGCCAACAATCACATATACATTACTTTAGGGCAAAGTTCTTCCGAGGTTTCTCATCAAATGAGAAACTTGAGCAGAACTTTGCCCTATTCGAGTAAATTTACATTCTCTGACGTGAAGAGAGTCATAGAAATACACAAGTATTAACTTATGGTGAAGTTTTCTGGACTTCCTTCCTTATCTGAGAGACATCCAGATAACTTCATCATAAACGAATTACAGACAAGTTCTCTCGCTGTTTGCAGGACAAATACCACAAATTCATTACACTATTGAAGAGTTGTTCCGAGGTTTCTCATCGAATGAGAAACTTCGGAAAAAATTTGCTCTAGTGGAATAAATTTACATCCCCTAACACACAAATGATCAGATATAACAAGCACAGATTTTTAAGGTATAGCTTTGTTGAAAACCTTTCAACGAATGAGAAAGTTAGGGAAAACTCTACCTTATAAGATCAACTATAGAATTCATAGCTCTTTGAATACTAGGAAACATTAATGCAGTAGTTTAAGGCAAAGTTTTTCCGAGATCTATGAAGGATAGAGAGATCTCGGAAGAACTTTGCTCTGCACAAGTAATTTCAGAATCTATGGTCCTCTAAGGACCAGAGGACGGTAATGCAAAAGAATGATGTCAATAGCAGATAAATAATAGCCTTAGAAGTTCAATACGTGCACAGTTTGACTACATTGCCCTAGTAGTTAGACTGTACAGGTATTGTACTTCTGGCCTAAAAAATCCTCATTGAAGACAATAGGTAGAAACTCAAATTGTTGATAAATATCCCAAATTATCATAAGAGAGCCCATTATTGTTACCTGGCTCCTTCCTGGCTTTCAAAGTCTGTAAACGAGAAGTCTTGGCTCTTGTGGTAATTGCTTCCAAGAGGTTTACTCAATTCGAGTAAAACTATAAACCCTGTAACTGACATGTACTTCCTTGAATGGGCATTAAAAGTAATTTAACCTAACGAATAGTAACATGACCACTATTTTGATGACTAAGAAATGTAATTCATCAAATTGGCAGTTCGATGAATGATACCATGCAATCAACAACTGGTTTGTTACAATTTGGCTTGATTCATCAAATTGGCGGTTTGATGAACCGAATATTGTAATCCAGACTAGGTCAGTTGCTTGTTGGTCATAGATAATAATGACACCTTTCTGTTTTTGTTAAACATCTCAATTATCCCGCCAAAAATTATTGGGTCTAAATTGGTTTTTATTATTATTATTTTCAGAAACAAACTAACTTGTTTTTTAGGAATTTATCATTCATAAAGTCTTTATGATATATTTTCAACTTATAATGAATATGAAATTATAATTGTTATTTTGAAAAAAATTATTCATGATCAATTCATGATTTAAACAGTTCCTTCAAATTAGGAGAGCATATTCAAATATAATCGCTCATTAAAATCAATTTTTATGTTTTTTTTAAATCGAAATTATCTCATCATAAACCATGCAAACTGACTATTTGTTCTTATCACCATGTTACCAATATCAGAATTGTCTTTACAGCCAAAATTTCGCTCGATAAAAGTCCATCCAATAGTGAGATAATTGAGCAAGGAACATTTTTCCATATCACAAAAAACCTCCCCCAAATCATTAAAGGCATTTGTAAACTGTTCCTATTGGTCAATGTATTAACTTCATTTAGCTTTTACATTCATATCATAGATAAAAATATGTAAATATCATACTTTATCCATGGATTTAGGAATTCAAAAAATCTAAAAGTCCAACTTTATGCAGCCAAATAGCTTCGAACTTAAAATTTTCCACATTTAATTTAGGTGGACCATAACGAAACAGTTTAGTTTGAAGTATCAGAGATATTCTGCTGTAATACCTTGGAAAGAGATAGATAAATCGAATTTTGCACGCGAAATTATATATTTTTGTTTTTGTTCTATTGAAGACAGTTAGCAGATAATTAAGGCGGGAACAAAAAAATCAAATCAAAATTAGGAGTGGAGATTGCCCTAAAACGAATATTATTCAAATGATGTTTCAATTGGATGTATAATTTCATTAGATATTGAAATCATATTCATCAAATATTACAAAATCAAATTGTTGTTAGCAAACAGAATGTAATTAATAAATAACTTTTTTCCAAGCTAATTAATTATTGAATCTTATTGTGTTTCATGTTCATCTTTACAAAATTGAATTTGATTCATTAGATACAACTTTATTTGAACGAAATTTTAAAAAAAAGATATAATTGTGGCAAGATAGTATTTTTGTAATTAGATGGGGAAAAAATAGAATAAAGCTATTCAGTACTTAAAAAATGGTTCCGCTGGGGCTCGAACCCAAGACCTTAGCGTTATCAGCACTACGCTCTACCTACTGAGCTACGAAACCTTGACGATTGAAGAAGAATATTATCTTTTATAATGAAAATATGAAATTTATATTTGGTTTAAAAAGAATCAACAATATTTCTCAACCAATTTCATCAAATAGAGATTTCATACAAATATAATATTTACTCATAATATGATTATAAGTTTTCTCTATTATTCATAATTTGTTTCAATCTGAGCTAGAATAAGAACTTGATGATGAGCTGTCATGTCGTCTACGGTTATGAGAATGATGATGGCCATGCTGATGATTACTATGATGTTGTTTTAATTCAGAACTATTTTCCTCATTATACGGATATTTTGTGTTTTCTATTAATATTGGTTTTAGTTCTTGCTTTTTTACATTCCTTGGTGGAATTACAGGTGGTTTAAGTGGTTTGGAGGGTAATATTTTTGGTTTAATGGGAGTATTTTGTGTAATGGTTGGTTGGTTACTGATAGCTTTAACTTCTGCGTTGTTATGCATTTGGTCTTTCGATAGATCGGTAGTTTCAGCGTCACTTGATGAAGATGAAGAATTATATGAGGATGAAGACGTATATGAAGAAGATGATTCTGATTCGTCAAGTTTGTTCGATATATTTTGATTTGATTTGAGTCTTTCAGCAATTTTCCTTTTAGCTTCTTCAACAAATACAGAAGGTATTCCGGTTTCAGAATTTTGAGCATCCTCTAGTAATGGCCAAAGTTTTTCAATAAATGGAACTGCCTTATCCCCAACAAGTGATTGTAATTGTTCTGCAAGATCGTGCGAATTTATTGTATCTGCTTGAAGAAAGCCCATTATTATATCTTCAACAAATTCGTCATCAGTCATTGATGATAATTGTTCATGAACCCATGGATGAAATGAATCATAATTAATTTTATCGATTAAAAGAGACTCTGTGATGCTTTTGGATAATTTCACTTTTTGGTTAGCTCGGATTTTGTCAAATCTATGGTCCTTGTTAACACTAGCACCGCTAAATAAATTTCTTGAAATCATTTGATTTATGAATTTATGAAAAAGAAACAAAAATGTTCATTAGATAGATATGGGTAAATATTTTGTTCAATGAAAACTCATATAACTCAATCAAAATAAATTCAATTTAATCAATAAGAAATATCAGTATAAATCGATGGAGATGAATATATATAGCAGCAACTAAGTATTATCATTGACAAGTCTTCATTTACAATTGTGAACATGAGTTGAACAAGGTCTTCAACAGCGAGCAACACGAAGTCTATATTGACAAGAATTGTATGTAATCATAAATTATAAAGAGAATGATCACAGAGCTAATATTTGAACAGGGACAATTGAAATATCAAATATACAGTTCAGTCATGAACTCAATCAATAAAATCTCTGATAATCTAATATGAAATATCGTAAAGTATAAGTATAATGTGAAGTGAAGCCGTGGAGAAAATGGAAAAGATATGAAATGCATCTACACAATGGTAAACAATGATATTGAGATATTCAATTACATATATTGTTGTTTGTATTTGCATGCATATAGAAAATGTGAGCAGAAAAAAATCTGAATGTTGGAAAAAATACCGTTAAAAAGATTTTGATTAATAAGCAGTCCGTAGATAAAAGTTTAAATTTGAGCAACAATTGGAATTGATTGGAAATAGGAGTTAAACATCTTATACCTAAATTTGGCAGGAACAGGGAAATTGATAGTTTTAGCCCAAACGTCTTCGGCAGTCTTTGCAAGAACAGGCTGTTCTCTCTTCTCCTCAACGACTGTTTCTGGCTCCTCTGGCGTTGGTTCTGTTTCAATTGGGCTCTTAGGCTTGGCATTCTGTCTTCTGCGAGCGTTTCGCTTTTGCCTTATTGTCCATTTCTTCAACTCGCGCCTGTCTCTGTTGAAAATTGGAATAGAGAGGATGATTTGCTCATCTGTTTCCTTTGATGCTGGCCTTGCGATATAGCCAAGCTGATGTAGCGATCCATTTATGGATGACTTGCATTTGCCCATTAAAAGGATCAATTGCTTGATGTTGATCGCAATGGAATTCTCGAGAAAAATTACACCTGTCGCAAAACTCCTTTTCCAGTCGTTTTCGTCATGTTTTACAACATATTCTTTAATTATTTTAAGTCTTTTGTTGAACATCTCGACTTTCTCGCCACGTTTAGCGTTGGCCACTTCTGTATGAAAACGATCTCGAAGTTGAAGGTAGCCCTCCAAATCGGTTTCGCTTAACAGTTTCAAGTGACCAGTGCAGCGACTGTTTTTAACTTCTTTTTGATCTTCAATATCGTCAATATCCATTTAAAAAACTAAAATATATCAATTATTGCTTTTCTGACACTTTCAAAATATTCAAGAAAAAATGACACAACATTGATTGATATCAGTATGAACATCAATACATTGTAAAAAATTGAAATGCATGAGAGAAATGAAGTGAAGTCAACTGGAAAATTAATTCAAAATCTAAATTGAGTACATATCGATAGTTTTGATTAGTTTATATTTTAGACATCATATCAGATACTATATTGAACATTCGAGTTATGCAAAAATAATAAGTTGTAAAAATCGTTTTTATGAAAACTGCCATTCTCAAAATTTACGTTGAAAGATTTATGTACTAACTTAGTCTATATTAAACTTAAAATAAAATTACAACAGAAACTGAACGTTGAAGTATTTCAACTCAATTCAAATATTTTTTTAGATTTATGTAAACGATATGACTATCATCAAATATTGGTTTAAACTCTGTATTAGTTCCAAAATTATATAGGTTAATTTTTCGGAGACAAATTATGTTTTCTCTTTTCTCAATTCTCAAACCTTCAAAAAGATTAGATATTTCGGGTTTGAATTGCTTGGATTCAACATCTCATGAGGGTCAGGAATCATATTCTTGGGATCTTTCAGAAGATCGGAATAAATATTTATTTCTGAAGAAAGTTCTGACAACTCGTGTATTGAATTTCTCTGCTATTGTATATCGATCCATTTATAATGTGCAAATGCTAATAATTCTTGCAATGTAAATTGTCATTTGGAGGTTATCCTTTCTGGAGATTCATTCTTATTGAACCTTGCTTTGACTTCTTTAGATTGAAAATGATATTTCATTGATCAAACGACTTGGCCATGAAAGATTATCCAATAAATTACTAGGTTGGTAAATGGATACAATGTTGCCCTTTGCGATCAATGGATAAATTGTTAAAAACAGTAGTCTTATCATACATGCAGCTAATGGCAAAACCCTACCCCTTATTTATAAAGAAAAATGTAATATAGAACAAAAAACGATATTTTTCCTTGAATATTTAGGCTTCATTAATACAAAACTAATTAAGTCAGCATTTGCACGCTTAATACAAAGGTATGAAGACTGGATTTTCATCATTAAAAATATATCATAATTATTAACGAAATTGTTAAGAATTATTCTAATACTCACCACAAATAGACAATTAGTGTAATATCTAAGGAGCTTCTCAAAGAAAATATAAATTTGAGAAATATAGGTTTTGTAAAGCATAGTATAGATAAAACGAAGAGATTTGAACATACTCAATTTCATTTTATAGTATTTCGGTAAGGATTAAAAATAAATTTTAAAAGTTGCTTTCAATGATGATTGTAAGCACAATATGGAATTTCTCTGCCATTATTTTGCAAATGTTCAATGAAAGCCAAAGAAATAAAAAAAAAATTAAATTGAATACGAATATACGAATTACCCATAAAACATTGTGAAGGGTTTGATCTTTGTATTATGTGTTGTTGGAATTTGTATCTTATTATTCATAGTAAGTCAAACTCATAAGACTTCATATGAAATGTTTCGTTGTTGTTTGTTAAAGCATTGGGGAAGAAGTATTTTGTAAAGGAAAGTTTAGTAAAGTCAATCTGCATATGAACCGTAAAGGAATACCATAAAAAAAAATCTAAAATGTCGATCAAAAAAAATTTTTTGGGGATCAAAAAAATTTGAGAAGATAACAAAAATTGAGAAGAAAAAAACAGAAAAAATTTTAAATTGGTCATTTTTTGAGAAATGTCTAACAAAGGCAAAGGTAAGGATGCTAAACCACAATCTGCTGAAGATGAGGAAGCCGAGCAAATGGCTTTCCTCCTCCAAGCTGCCCAAGCTAAGAAAGCAGCAGGCCCTGCAAAAGTAACAAAGGTTGAGAAAAACCCACTCGCTTTCGAGTGCCCAGGTCTCCCACCGCTTCCAAAGGAAGAGAATCCAGCTAGAGACTGGCCAGCCGTCGAAACATATGAATACAACGAACACAATGGCTACAGATCAACATCTAAAGAATTAGCTGAAGTCGAACGTATCCAATATGCTACTTCTATCCTTCCAGATCTCAGAGAAGGTGCTGAAATCCATCGTCGCGTCCGCAGATGGGCCATGGAAAATGTAATCAAGCCAGGTGTTAAGCTTTACGACATGTGCGCACAGATTGAAGAAGCTGTTCGTAAGCTTTCTGGCTATGAACCAATTTTCCGTGGTCTTGCCTTCCCATGTGGCTGTTCAATCAACAATTGTGCAGCGCATTACACTCCAATGTACAACACCGACCAAAGAGTTCTTGGCAAGAGTGATGTCATGAAGATCGACTTCGGTGTCGCTATCAATGGCAACATCATCGATTCTGCTTTCACAGTTTGCTTTGATCCAAAGTTCGAGCCACTTCTTGAAGCAGCCAAGACAGCTACAAACACAGGTGTCAAGATAGCCGGTATCGATGCCCGTATGAACGAAATTGGTGATGCCATTCAAGAAGTTTTCGACGCTTCCTCCATTGATATTGACGGAAAGCACTACGACATCAAGCCAATCTCCAACCTCAGTGGCCACAGCCTTGGCCCATACACAGTTCACGCTGGTAAGTCAATCCCAATCACCAAAGGTGGCAACGCCGAAAAGATGGAAGAAGGCGAACTCTTCGCTTGCGAGACATTCGGCTCCACAGGCAAGGGTATTGTCCACAATGATGGCGACAATGTCAGCCACTTCATGGTTGCCAGAAATCCACCAACACCAAGAACACCAGCTGCCAGAAAACTCCTCAAGACACTTCAGGAAAACTTCTCTACACTCGCCTTCTCACAGAGATTCATCGATCGTATCGGAGAAAAGAAATACCAACTTAACCTTCGCCACCTCGTTGAATGCCGCGCTGTTCATGATTATCCATCACTCTCTGATGTTAAGGGCTCTTACGTTGCTCAGTTCGAACATACCTTCATTTTACTTCCTACACACAAAGAAGTCCTTTCAAGAGGTGATGACTATTAAAGCGACTAAAAATACTTGTAAGAAGACTTTACTAATAAAATGCTTTAACTATCAAACATTTATATAACTATTTTTACAATCTATAAATTTATCATCTTTTGAATCTTATCGAACAGTATAATATACAAATAAAAACCAATGTCAGTCAGATTTATCAGTCCGAAATTGGCTAATGAGAAAATAAAAAAAATTGATCTAAAAAAACACAAAATTATAATAATATTAACGAGAAAATTGTAATTAAAAGCAATTTTAAGATCAATTTTCATATTTTATTTTTCCAAAAAATATTCGGATTTGCATTTTTCAAATGTTTTTCATTAGATTTTGTGATTATTTTTTCAAAAATGAAAAAAATTTGGAATTCATTTTCTTGATTTCAGATCATTATATTGATACTTATGATTAAAGAGTCCATATTTTAATGTTAACACTAAATTTGTTGTGAAATACTTAGAAATTATGATTATTACAATGATTTTACCTACTAATATTCGAAAAACTTTCACATATCAATATCATATTGCATTTTTATTCAGAACTGGCCATAATTTACGTTATTTATCAAGTTATTATACATTTTCAAGATAAATATACTTATATTTCGGATTTCCTTATTAAGTAAAACCATTTTCACATTATTATAAGTCAAAATAATCGCGAGTTTTTTTATTTATGAAATAATTCTGATAGAATGAGGATAATAAGATTATTATCTTACATCAATAGACATTAGACAGCCATAAGATTGATTTGGTAAATCCTCATTTTAATCTTTTGCCTTATTTTCCCTTTTCATCGAATAAGATTAATTTAATTAATAGCAAAAATCCTCAGATATTTCATTAGAATCGATCAATTAATCAATTATGAATATTTTATAATATTTCAATTTTTTTTCTTTCTCTTTGCTCTTAGAATCATTGCAACTACATCTACTCAGCATCTATTGCATGCAAATGCAATACATAATACGAATCATTTAAATCTTTTTTTGCGATCGAATTCTTGGTAAAGAAAAGGAAAAAGAATAAAAAGGAATTTAATTAATTAAAGAGTGAATGTTTCCCATTCATCGAATGTGTCATAGTTTTGTTCGAAGACAGTTCCAATGAATGAACCAAACTCGTGATTTAAATTATGCATTATTATTGATCCCTCCACATCATTTTCGCTTTCAGGTTCGGTTGAAATTTGTGGATTGGCAGAGTTTGATTGCTGTTTTGATAGAAATTTGTACCAACGATTTTTGACGTTGTTACCTGATCGTCCATCAAGACTTTTCGATATAAGTGACCATTTCGGTCCGTGTATCTTGTGCATTTGAAGAATAATTTCATCTTCTTCCGAAGTCCAGGACGCGGAACTAATCTCCTTGAAGAGATACTTATTATAACGATCTCTGCACTGCCTAGCAGTTCTCCCCGGCATCTCCCTCGCAATTTGATCCCAGCTGCGATCTCTTCCTCCGCTAACTAGTTGCTTTAGACGCATGTCCTCCTCTTTTGAGAAGCGCTTGCGCTTGGTGAGATCCGGGGGCTTACTACAACTACTGTCATCATCTTGATCATCACAAAACATATATGAACATTTTGTAAAGCAAAGAAATTTAAACCATTCATTTAATAATTTATATGCTTTCAATTTTTTGAATTGATTGTGACAATTAGCGATTGATGCAAATCGATAAGGAATATTAATAGAAGTAGAAATGAAATAGAATAAAATTGTGTGATTTCAAATTATTTAACGGTCTCAATTATAATTTTGTTAAAATATATACAATTGATATACACTCTATAAACCGACATTTTATGAAACCGCCCAAATCATCGATTTTGAATAATCACATCTAACAATTTTGGATTTATTTGTGCTTATTAAATGAAATATTCATAAAATGATTTTGTAAAGAAATAAGGTTCTCATCAAATAATACCTATATAAGAATTCATATTATGTAAAATTTCCAAACTGTAGAATATGATTGATTGAAATTATAAACATTTAAAAAATTCAAAATCAATGAGTCAATTTTGATTTATTTAGAAACCAAGTCAAATATTATCTTTAATCATGAATACATATTTGTTTCAATCAATGACACTTCAATTATCTCAATTTCAAAGAGATTTCAATTTTTTCAAATACAATTCTACAAATTATTTTATATAAAATGAATGATTGCAAAATATATAATGACTTAATAAAAATTTTGAATTCGATCAATTGCCAATAACTTTTTCTCTATCTTTCTATAGAATGAAGACCATGTTCCAAAAATACAGAGAGCAACAAACAATACTTTGCATTAAGTTTGATATTATATTGATCATTCAAATATCAATATTATATCAAATTAAATATGCCAATAACAAGTAATCACTAATGCATATAGAATATTTTCTGGAAATATATTATTTTTTTAATATCTAACATTATTTTCTCTAATGATGAAGAAATATAGCACTTTCTATAATTAAATATCTCAATTCTTTTCATTGATTATATATTTCATGTATCTAAGAGGAATTAGTTACTAATTTTTCTTAAAATCAAATTTCTCATTATCAATTCAATTATATCGCTATTATCCATTCAAAATTTCAATAGAACATCAAAAGTGTCATTTCAAATTTTTTTGGAACCGCAAATCGTTTTCGAGAAATTACTTTACTGTTCGCGAAAATCATTTGTTTTATGCAGTTCACTACTAAATATGACATGATTGCAAAAAAGATAAATGAAAATTGTGAAATATCAAAGTTATTTTTATATTTTACAATCAATCCTATTAATGAATAATAAATCGATACAAGTCGACATTACTTCATCAAGATATCATGTTAAATATTTATATGCTTTTACTTCACTTTCTAAATTTAATATCGAATATTTTAACCGAATTTAATTTATTATTTTAATCTAACCATGCAACAATATATCGGTATATGATTACTCATTTAATATTGATATTTTTTTCATTCATATAATTTTGGATTTTAACATCTTTAACTGTCAATCATCTAAGTCATCCATAATGTCCACATTCCAATAAGTGATACTTAATTTAGAAAAAATTTCGAAAAAATAAATATCAAAATACTGGAATTTTTATGAAATTCACGAAAATTTTCTAGTAGGATCTAAAGTATTATTGATTCGGTTAATGAATATATATGGAAGAAAAAAATATTTTTAAATCAATCGAAAAACTTCATGATATTGATGCAATGATGAGATGAAGAATTCAGTTGAATTGAATGAATATCCATTTTCCTTTTAAATAAATCTTTATTCAGATTCATCTTTAATGTATTTTTCAATAAGCTTTTTTGTTTCATAATTGTAAGTAATTTGATCAATAGATTTACCCATATATCTTGTTTTAGGATTTGCCCCATTTTCAAGAAGAATTTTTACAACTTGATATTTTCCGCCCTGAGCAGCAATAACAAGAGGAAATGATCCTAATTGCGTTTCATTTACATCAGCACCTTTCTCAATCATCAATTGCAATAGTTCAATATTGTCAATTGATTTAGTAAGATAAGTTATTATTGGATATTCGTATTCATTGTGCACCTGTTTAATGTTTTCGACGCAATTCAAAATAACTTTAGCTTCTTTAAGCTTTTTATTCCATAAACATTGAATAAAGCCAGAAATAACAGATCTTGAGTTACTTTTAATCGGAAATCCTTTTTCAATTAAGTACTTAACTAATTCTTCAGTATTTTCCGGTGATGTGCAAGCATAATGAAAAATAGCTGCATTTTTAGTTTTATAACCATTTTCAATAATCATCTTGTATCCAAAACTATAATTCCAATATACACATCTTGCTAAGATATTATCCAATTCAGTTTTGTATAAAGAATAAAATTTTATTAATAAATAATTTGAAATTGCGAAGTTTGTGATTTTAATTGCAGTTTCACATGCATGCATATCTCTTATATTTGCATATTTCATCATCGCATATGTGTTATAATGCTCAATACAAAATTTATCTGAAATCTTGAAATTTTGTTTTTCATAAATGGAAATAAAATAGTCTAAAATGTCATTTCTGTGGGTTTCTATAGCTCTCTCGATACAATCAACAAAAGAGTATCCTTCTTGAAGCAGCATCTCAATGATTTCCTGGTTTCCGCCATAAACTGACCATTTTAAGGTAGATATTTGGATTTGGCAATTATTCATTTTGAGATACTTAAAACAATTAACGGCTCCATATATGGCTGCTAAGTCTATTAGATTTTTTGGATCTTGGTCTTCCATTGCTGTTAATTCTGATAAATTATCTGCTAAAAATAGTTTTGATAAAGAGTTATTGTCACTAAAACATTTAATTTCTCCACCAACTATCTCGGAAAATTTATTATAAAGGCTTCTATTAACAAATCTATATCTCGAGGAATTTTCAACAATTAATCTGATGTTTTCTTTATGAAATTGCGGATTTGACTTAATAAAATGAAGTATTTCATCTATATTATGTTCATCCATATTGAAAATCTGATCTTCAAGCTTAATCTGTTTCGCAATAAAATCATCTTCCATAAAAAAATCGTAATGACACTTTTTAAAATAACCACTCAAATTTTTTCCCTTTTTAAAACTTTTGTCAAAATTATGGTTTTGATCAACAGAATAATGTTTATTATGTGCTCTCGAGGATGCACAATATTGGATTAAATTTTTCTTACATAACATTTCAAGTGACACTAGTCCCTGAATCAGAAGCCATCCATGCATTGTAGAATATTTATTGAGCCTGAAATAAGAAAAACTTTATAATATGAAAATAAAATAAGTTTATTGATATGATCCCATTTTCATTGTGTCATTTTATATCTATGACTTTAATCCGAAAAAGTCTTCGTAACGTTTTTAAAACCACAATCTCTTAAGCCTTTAAAGATATTACATTTCTGCTATTATAAAAGTGGGTAATAAATTAAAACTACAAACAATTTATTCATACAAAATAATTAAAAATAAAAGTTAGGTTGTTTTTCTTTGCTTTAATTGTAAATTAAGCTTCTCATTTTCTTGTTGAAGTGCGTACATGAACGACTTTGCTTGTTCATCATTCTCTGAGTAGGAGAAAGCGGTTAAAGCAGATAAGAAAGAAGACAAAAGTGTGATAAATCTAGAAACAATTAAGAAAACAAAGGAATTAATCTTTGATGGCTGGATTTGTGACAAAGCTGAGTGTAATCTCATTATTTGATTTCTTAAGTTCTTTGCAGGCTCAGATCCAGGAATGTAAGATGAGAATTTGCAATCAAATGTTGTAAATATTTCATTCAAAATACTTGCAAATGGTTTCAAAGCGATTATTGTGTTGTTTAATGATATAAAAGCTGCGCAAACTTCAGGTATATATTTCCGAGGATCGCTTCTTGTTGTTACAGGAACTAAATCATAAACACTTGTGAACATTTCATTCAATTCGTTTGCAGACAAAAATTGAGGATTTGCTTGATTAGATGTGATTTTATCAACAAAAGTAACACATCTATCACATAATTCTTCATCTCTCAATGTAGACAAATCGATATCTTCAAGGCCAATGAATTTATGTGCTAAATGATCAACTTTTTCAAGACAAATCCTGAAATCCTGTCTCTTTTGTTGAAGAACTGTTAAATCAGTAATTCTTTTCTCTACATCATCCTGGAACTTCTCGAGCATCTTTATTGTCTGGTTAACTAAGTTCTGTGGAGACATTTTCTGTGTTTTCTTCTCTTCAGCACTTGAAACTCCCCTGAATCTGTTATTAATAACTTCAATTGATGTTATCAAAAACTTGTTTTGTGTTTCTGATTCGAACAAAGGTTTCTTCAAAGGATTTTCCCATTTATCGAAAGCCTCAATAATATTCTTAATTACATCTTCTTGGCTATTATTTATTTCGACTTTCAAGAACTGAGAAACTCTTCGAATTACGTCTTTCAACAACTCGTTTGCGTTTTCTTTTTCTTTCTTATCTTTCTCTATTTCAACTAACGCTAAATCAGTGATTTGCACTGCTTGTTGGACAGGAGTTCCCTTAGGATTATTGATATCAACTAAATGTTTGAATTTCGTGGAAATATTTTCCGCAAAATGATTCAATTCTTCTTCTTTAAGTTTCGATAAACTATCGAGTTGTCTTTGCAATTCATTGCTGAAATCCATTGCAGCATTTATTGCTTCGTTATAGATATTGTCTTGATCAACAATTGGTCTTCTATAGAACTTCAAAATTTCTCTAAATGCTTGCATCAAATGTTCAATTTTTTCAGATAATTTTTGTTTTTCTTCTTCCATTTTTTGGATTTCTTCATTTTTGTCAATGAATTTTTGGTTGACATGCTTTATAATATCCATGAAAGACATGTCATCATCATAAACAATATCAGATAATATCTTTCTCATTGCTTCTTCTTCTCTTTTATGTTGTATACATTTCTGACATTTTCTTTCAACAACATAAACAGTTAAAGCATCAACTTTTGAAATCAATTGATCATCATCGTCATCATCAGGAGGGAAATTAAGTTCTTCTTCCTTCATTACGCCTCCAAGTTTCCTTGCGACGTTTCTAAGAGCTTGTTTATATTCATTATCGTTTTTCCGATCTCTTAATTGATTTATTTCATCTTCTTGAGTATCAATTATTGATTTAAGCCTTGTTATTTCTTGTTCCAACAGTTTTTGCTTTTTCATGAAATTCTGGGATTCTCTGTGAATGTATTCTTGCAAATCTCTATCATCTTGTTCGATTTGGACTTGTTTGTTTTTGAGATTTTCGTTTTCATCTTCTGTATTTTTTGCAAGACTTCCAAGTAAATTCAAAAGTTCAGTTAATCTGTCACCATTTCCATAGATTGCTTGGATATTTGTTAATCCGTATTGAGCGAGCAAAGAAGCAGTTGAAAAACCGGAAAAGTTTATATCTTCTGCTTCTTCGAATTCAACAACTTCCCGAGTTTCTTCTTCATTCTTTTGAGGAATGTCTCTACGATAAATGTAAGTTGTTGGAAGATCTAATCTTTCCAACATAATTGTTAAACAATCCTGGAATTCATCAAGATTATTTAACAATGCTCCCATATCCATTTCGAACAAATAAGCTCCTTTCAAGGAAGAAATGATATCGCAACACGCAGTGTATGTTCTTTGTCTGATTCTAACAATTTCATTGTTTGGAAGGTTGAACTGACTTATTTCTTGTGCGAAACAATCATTCAATAATCTTGAGAATGATTTCACTTTGTTCGCACAATTTTTCAGTTGTTCCAAATCGCTTGTATTAGAAACAGCTGCATGTGATTCTTGCAACAACAAATTATTCTGTTTTATCATCGCAATGATGTTTCTTGATGGAGAATTATGTATTGTACTCTTTCCAGTGATAAACTGTGAAACGCTTTCTAAAGCTGTTGATATCAATGTAAAATTCTGGTCAATTGTTTTACGAATCGCTTCAGGACCAGAATTTTGGATATCAATCAATGATTTCGCAAAGTTTTTCCACGATTTGAGGAAAGGAAATGCGGATTGTTGCAATCCACCGGATGCTACATCTCCTGGCTTGACACCTCTTTGAAGAACAGGACTTGTATTAAATTGTTTGATTGATTGTTGAAGGAAAGCACCAAACAATCTTTGGTTCTCTTGAACTTGAGCTGAAATTCCTGTTCTAAAACTAATTGTTGCATTATTGTGAGCCAACAATTTATTGATGATTTCTATCAATGAATTATATAATGTCTTAAGTAATGATGTTTGATTCAAATCACCATTTGATTGCAATGTTTGAATATTCCTAGAATTACTTGGTTGTATGTAACTCTGTTTAATTTCCCTTGTTTGATACAATCTTGGTGTTCTTACTCCGCCTGTATTTGCTGTTTTTGATCTAATGACTCTTGTTTGAGGACAAATTACTTTTAACATAGTTATTACTCCTTCTTCATCTGTTGCAAAGAGATACTGGTTATCTCCAGAACTGATAATACGTGTTACAGGAGTTCTACATATTTTTATTTCGTTGTAGGAATCGGAAGAAGGGAAAACTTGGTTTGCTTGGAAATAATATGTCCTTATTGAGCCATTTCCCGTTGAAACAAAGAGACATCTGTTGGAAGGACCCATTAGAAGTTGATTCGTGTTCTCTTTAAGATCAAGTAAGTTCTTTGTTTGAGTTTCTTCTGTTTCTCGTAATGTGAAATCAGGAGAAGTGATTCCATAGCAACGAGTACATGTTGGATCGGTTGCAACAATGGAAATAAAGTGGTTTATTTGTTGGAGGGCTGGTGGAGTTCGAGATTTTCCAGATCTGACAACCCAAATTCCAATTTGACCGCTAACATCGCATGTTATGAGATGAGAATCGTCTGTGGACCATGAGAATGAAGAAATCTTCTGTCCTTGGGACTTAATTGTGATAGAAAGTTTAAATGAATTTGATGAATAAACAGAAACAGTATTTTGGACAGCCACAGCAAAGTGCTGGCCACTATGAGAGAATCTCAAGTTAGTACAGCCTTTTATATTGAGTTCTTGCTGTACAATTAAGTCATTTCCTGAAACTCCAAAAATAGAAATTTTTTCTGGGAAGCTTACAAGTATTAAATTACCATTTGGATGGAAGGAAACAAGTAATGGTGTATCATTGCAGTAATGGACAACTTCGTAATACATTTTATCGTAGTTTAAAACTCGAATTGATTGATCTTCACCACAAGTAACTAGAAGTTGCTTTCTTGATGCAGTGTCCATATCAACAATAGAACCAATGTTATGGGATGGGAGTATTGTAATGAATTCTTTGTTGGGATTTAAATTTGATTTTGTTTTATCAAGTTTTAATGCAATAAGTCGTGCATCGTTCATAAGAACTACTAGATTATCTCCTCCTGGTGAAATTGTTAAGGAAATGATCGTGCTGTTCTCATCTACAACGACTGAATTTATTTCGTTGAAATTTTTTGAATCTGATTGATTTTCGAAGAAGTGAATAGTATTTCCACCTGTTATACAAACAAAACCTTTGAGTGTTGGAGTAAGATTTGTAATAGGCTCGTTTGAATTATTCTTTAATTGGATTTGCATTGGAGTATCAGGAGAATCAAGATTAAAAAGATGACCATCTACAGTAGATACAATAACGCAATTATCAGTACCAGCAAAAATATGTTCTTTTATATTATATTGATCTAATTGTGGAGTTTCTTTGTAATCAAATTCTTTATTGTTACGTTCAATGAGTTTGTAAACTCCCTTACCAGTACAACAAATCATATTTTCATCATATGGATGAAATGAAACAAAATTAACGTTTGTATTATATAAATTTTCCGAAACTTTCTGGGAAGTGATTAGTGATCCGCTTGATGCATCGAAAATAAAGAGTTGTGAATCTGTATTTCCCAATGCAGCTAAATAATGTGCGCCTTCACTAAAAGCGAGAGCGGTAAATGATATTGTTGAGTTCGGAATTGTAATAGACCGATAATGCTTAAGCGAATTTAGTTCTACAATGTAAATAATCGATGAATTTAGTTCTAATGTATAAGATAAAAAGACTTGACCACTCTGAGTTGATGGAGAAATCGCTGTACATTTAATGGCACCACGTGATATATCAGTGCATTGTAAAAATTTCTGCTTTTTCAGCTCCCAATTATAAATAACAATATTATTCCCTGCAAAATAAACAATAGTAGTTTCACCGAGTGAATATATCCTTGAATTTGATGAGCAATCAACGCCCATTACACGATTTTGTTCAAGGTTGATTCTGCTCGATTGGGTCATGAAAATTTTTTTAACGTATTTTAAAATTTTAAGGTTCCAAAATCTGAGGAGATTTGAGAGACAATATCTTGTAATTTGAAGTGTACTATAAGAAATTACTAATAGCAAGATATATCTACATGTCCTCAAGTATATAACCAATCAATTTATATCGATTAAAAACTGCACCATCTGCCTGAAAAATGGAAATTTAGATATGAAGATATTTTTGCAGGTGTAAATTCAATGTGAAATATAAGAGAGCACATCAAAGCCATAGACTTGTTAGGCAATTCAGGAATGCTCTAAATGACTAAATGACATGCGTATTTCCTCTTACATTATGGAAGAAGACATCGATTTTGCTCAAAAAAGTGACAATGAGTGCTCTTCCTCCAACTCCAACAGAAGAACTCTCTCGGAAAATGCTTGACCAGCTGAAGGAAGGCAAATTTCACAATTCTGCTCAGGAAGCTCAATTAAAAATCTTACAAAGTCAATTAAAATCACTTCAAACATTTGAAACTCCATCAAAACTAAATAAAATTTGCGAAAATATAGTTGATTGTCAAAAAAATGATAATTCAAGAAATAAAATTTTTAATTTAATTCGGTTATTCAGTGATTTGGCTTTATATGCATTTGATAACCCAGTAGAAACATATAATTCTTATGCTTTTGAACAAACAATCAAGATATCTATTCATTATCTTAATATTAATTATCCAGAAAGCCTCAGAGAAGCAATTATTGTTTATTTAACAAATTCTTTTCAATCAGAATCATTTTCTATCCTTGATAAATACAACGGTGAAGGTATAATTACTATACTATACCAGGCAATTTCTTTGAATGGCTCTTTACTTAATTTTCCTGCTTTAAGATGTTTGACTTCAATCGCTGCTCATAGCGAGGAGTACCGTAACAAGGTTAAGGAATGCGTAAAAATTCGTGATGCTTCAAATTTACTCAATATTCTTGAAAATCCAAGAGAAAAGAAACAAATCATCAGATTATTACATGCATATATCCTTTATCCATTGGAAGACGCCGAATTTGAGGACATTCTCAACATTTTCAAGCTGAATACAACTGCTTTTCATAAACAGACTTATCTCGCTTTAATTGATTTCGCAAGCGACCAAAAACATGCAGATGCTATTCTAAAAGACGAAATATTTATACAGGAACAATTTACGAACCTTAGAGATATTCTTGTTTCACAATTAATTTATACTGTTGTTATGAATACATCTAAAGTTGTTTCATTCCGTGTAGAGCCATTCCTTAGAGATTACTCACCAGAAGTTTCCGTTTTAAACATCCAAACTTTGTCAAATTCAATAATAAATTCAGTTGTGATGCAACAAGAGATAATCGAGAAGATAGATCTTATTAAAAACAAATATGAAGCTAATCAGATAAATCTCAAGATAAAAAGAGAAATTATTTTATTTATCGGAACATTTATTCGTTCATTGACCTCTGAAAAGGTCCTTTTGCTTAAGCCATCAGACTTCCTTGATTATTTGGTCGATAGTCTTGATTACAACGACAGCGAAGTTATTATCAACTCTCTTTGCGCGATCAACAAATATGCATCAGCTTTCCCTACAGGAGATGCAAAAGCAATAAGAGACAAGTTTATAGACCTCGGTGGAGTAGAAAAAATCGAAGAATTAAAAGATATTGGCGACGATACCATGAATGATTATATTTATGCCTTTGAAAAATCCTTTTTGGCATCAGATGAAAGGGTTCCCTTCAATTTTGAAGGCTAAAATTCCATATTTTGGAAAATTTATAGATATTTGTAAACTTTTGATATTATATACCTGTTATTTATATAACAAATCAGTTTTTCATTTATGATCCTTTATCAATCGTGTGAATACAATCAAAAAATCATCTCAACAAAAAATTGATTTTTTTTTTGAAACAGAACCCACATAATGAATAGAATGCTTCAGGTAAACATACTTGGCTTAGTATATTTAAAATATACATAGGTTATCGTTTAATGAAATAAATAAATCTATTTTTTCATGGTTTCATGAAAGATATACATATCCATTAAAAAGAACATAGGAAAATAATCATTGTAGTATACATGGGCAAATGGCGGGAAAAGTGACAACCTAAATTTGTAGTGGCGGGGATGACACTTTTTGTTGTCTAGTTGAGTATAAGAAACCCCACTAATAAATGACAAATATAATGCATTTCCCTATCACACGGAAGCTAAATGAACTTTTTTTCAAAATAAGTTGTGAAATATGAAACGAAAAAGAATTTCAAATTCAATTTCAATCATGAACAGTTCTTTAATCTGTGAAAACAATAAGATACCAAATACTAAAGGAGCACAGCATGATCCCTACATTGTGCTTGCAGTAATCCAAACAAAAAAATAATCAGCTTATTTTCTACCCAAACATAGAAAGAAATATGATGTAATCGAACCCAAATACAAATGAAAGCTCCTCAAGTTGCTTTCGAGTACTCATACGGCTTATAAATCTTTTCTAATTGATGAAAAATAAAATTTTGATTTATTTTTGATATCTATCTAGTTTTTGTAAGTCAGATACCTCCAATTTAGTTATGTTTATAGTTACTATAGAGAATTTTCTAAGATAATACAATTCGATATTGATAAATAATTAGCGCTCATATATTAATGGTAGGTTTGGCTAGATTCTACATAAATACGATAAATCATGACTTGTAGCTAATCTATTGATGGAAATGTGAATTTGATAGAAAAATCGAAAGTTCGTTCAAAGTGGTCAACGACCGCCATTTGGCGGAGCCTATCCTCCAATAGTATATCGAAGTAGAAGCCCAAAAGAATATTTTTATTGCATTAAAAGACTCATCTTTGAAGGTGGCGTCGCCATCCTATTCAAATTCTGAAATTTTGAATAGTTTATATTACCCTAATTGAGAGCCCGCCAGTGGCGGGCGGCGGAGAAAAAAAATAAGGGTGATTTTTTTAGAAAAAATTTAAAAACACAAATTCCTTTAGAAATAGAATCAACTTTAATAATAAAGTATAATTTCTCGTTTAATATCATGATGAAATGATAGTAAACTGTTCAAAAAAAATCAAAAAAACAAAAAAATAAAGAAAATTTTGTACTTTTTGTAAGGGCAATTTTTTCCCTCCCACCACCTATATCCCGCCACCTATCGTTCAAATTGAGTGTGGCGGGCAAATAACCCGCCATTTGCCCATGTATACATTGTAGTTTCGTTTAAGATATCGATATGCTTTCACAATTACTGAAGAATTGGTAACAATGTTTTCATTCTCAGAAAAATAAAAATGAATAAAAATATTAAAATTAGCTGTATCAATTAATAAAAATCCTTAAAAATTAAAAAATTTCAGCAAAAAAACTAAGAAATGAGTATTCCGGAATAAAATTCTCTGCAAAAAGAATAAACAGAATGGATTCTAACCATTCATCCCGGGAAGTACTCACTCTTCTGAGTAAGTATGGAAAATCTATATAAAATTTATATTAAAATTACATTTTCTACGAGGCGAAATCTTAGAACTTGATCTCCTTGACCTTCTCCCATGGAAGATCGATATCAGTACGTCCAAAGTGACCGTAAGCAGCAGTTTGAGCGTAAATTGGACGGAGAAGATTTAAGTCTCTGATAATAGCGTAAGGTCTGAGATCGAAGTTCTTGTTAACGATTTCAACGAGCTCCTCGTCGGTCTTTCCTTTACCAGTTCCGTAAGTATCGACAAAGACAGATAAGGGATGGGCAACACCAATAGCGTAGGAGAGCTGAACTAAGCAACGAGAGCAAAGGCCAGCTGCAACAAGGCTCTTGGCAACCCAACGGGCAGCATAACATGCAGAGCGATCGACTTTTGATGGGTCCTTTCCTGAGAAAGCACCACCGCCGTGCGCGCCCCAACCACCGTAACTGTCGACGATAATCTTACGACCAGTAAGACCAGAGTCACCAAGTGGACCACCGATAACAAAGCGGCCACCTGGGTTGATATGAAGAATTGTATGGTCATCAACAAAGTCCTTAGGAAGGACAGCGTCAACGACGTGCTTCTTAACTTCAACACGAAGTTTTTCTAATGTAACATCATCTGTGTGCATTGTTGAGATGAGAACTGTATGGATACGAACTGGCTTGAGGTGTCCATTGGTTCTTTCGTATTCAACTGTAACTTGTGTCTTTCCATCTGGACCAAGGAAAGGAAGTGTTCCGTTTTTACGGACTTCTGTAAGACGGCGAGCAAGATTGTGAGCAAGAACATGTGTAAGTGGGAAGAGTTCCTTTGTTTCATCTGTAGCATAGCCGAACATGATGCCTTGATCACCTGCGCCGAGATCTTCAGCAGCTTTGTTAAGGTGAACGGCCTGAGCGATATCAGCTGATTGCTGGCTAACGGATACCATGACAGCACATGTATCAGCATCGAAGCAGAGCTTGGAAGAAGTGTAACCGATCTTACGAACAGCATCACGAACGATCTTCTGGTAGTCAAGTTGTGCATTAGATGTGATCTCACCAAGAAGCATTATGAAACCTGTTTTTGTGCAGGTTTCGCAAGCAACTTTGGAATTCGGATCTTGAGCAAGGCATGCATCAAGAACTGTGTCGGAGATGATATCGCACATCTTATCTGGGTGTCCTTCTGTAACAGATTCGCTGGTGAACAGGAAGTGTTGAGACATTATCGAAAAATGCTGCGACTAATGTTCTCAATTTTTTGATAACTTTATCTTAAAATTTTTCATTGAATGGGTCCTTTTGATTAATTTCCAAAATTTCATACATAAATAGATTGACCAATATCTGATAAGCATTATTGCAATTTATTGATCTTAATCCGATTTGTAAACTCTTTACATTGTTTATCAACAAATTTATTTATTCATCCGTAGCCTCATTGAATTTATTGAATTTTTCTGATTATTTCGGAAATATAAATAAATATGTAATAGTGAATTCCAAATAAATTCTATAAATACAATTTTTATTGAATAGAAAGATTAAAAAATCTAAAAATTTCTTAAAAATATCATCTTTCATCATACTTGTTCACTACTTTTTGAGATTTTGTTCCCACATTCAGCCAATCGTTCTAAAATATAATCAATTCTATATATTCAAATTCTTGACCATGTTTAATTCTTATATAAATTTTGATAATTTTAATTTCTGGATTAATCAGTTCCTGCATTCTTGTGATAAATATCAACTTTATTTATTATAATAAAATACACATAGAATTAACTGAGATTTCAAGTGAAGAATCCAATGGAAAATATCAAATCTTATAAACGCATTGGCATGCAAGCGTTAATAACTGCTCAAAGATAATATAAAAACAATACATTCCTTATAATTTTAATTGTAATATAATTGAAATCGAAATTTATCAAGAAAAATATACAATTTAAGGTTTTAAATCAAATACAAATGTTTTACTAAGCTGCAAAAATAAATTACACCAATACAATTTTATTTAAATCATTAGTATGATAATATTATACAACAAATGCACGTATTGTTACTTTTTATTCGCGTTTATCACCTCATTAATCTCCTTTAATTCCTCATCATTGAATATTTTTTTATTTCCTTCGACCGAGAACGCTAATCTGACTTTATCAAATAAAGATTGAGCAAATCCAGAATCAAGCTTTGGCAAAATCCTAACAACGCTCTTAATTTTATCCTTATCTTTTTCTTCAATTGTACCTAGGTTTAAAATCGGCAAAGCCGCATTAATTATCTGTAAGTGTTCATAATTACGAATAAGTAATCTAAGCTTTGTAACTTGGTTGATGAAACTTTTGTAATGTTCGTCGTTAGAATTGGTTTTCAGTTTATCAGAAGATTTTTCCAAATTGCTGATTGAAGTATCACATCTTTCAAGCATGTTTTGAATATCAGTTTCAACCGAATTTGCTTGTGTTGGTATGATGTCTTGTGTCACCTGATTTTGGATTTCTAAAAGTCTTTTATAAAATAACTCTACGGAATCAAAATCGCGATTATAGTCAGCCCAAATATCTCCAAGTTTTAAGTTTTTATTTTCTAGATCACTTTTTAATCTCATAGTTTCATTATCACTCATTTCTAATTTTGAATATTTTATCTAGTGGAAAATTTAAAAAATATTTCTCCACAAAATGCTTGTGGCGCGAAGATACCCAAAAATGCTAGAAAAATTTATTCAGATATCATGTGATTATTTTTAGTCCATTTGCTTGAAATTTATCTTCTCCACCTTTACGGGCGTGTCAATAACAATTTTCAAAAAATTGAAACTCTGAGAAGCAATATAGTCTATTCCAATGAATGCGGCTAATCATTTGGGCATTGAGATCTAATCATTCCATCATAATCGAAGAATTGCAACAACAAAAAGTAAACTTCTCTGCATAAAATCAATTTCTTTTTTTACCCTACCTGTACAGCCATACCAATACAACACAATTTAAGTAAGGATTATGATCCTTGATTGAATTTAGATAAGCTTGTTTTATCGATAAATAAATATGACATTAAAACACCAGTTAATTACCTCACTTTAAGCTCGTATAAAAACTGTTAGATGACATGATAATTGTTTTGAATTGTGAATTCCCAAATTTGATAAAGATTTCAACTATGAACAAATCCAGGATGGTGTGATCAAATTAGGGCATAGATACTGTGATCAATATCATTTTTATGTTTGATTGAATCGAAACTTATAAATATCATGATCATCAAGATAATACAATTAATTCTCTTTGGGAATAATAAGAGGAGAAGTAATTTTTGAATCTTGCTTCCTTTGTTGTCAAAAACAAGCTAATAATTTTCCAAAAAAATATTCAATTACTAATATGAACTTGTGTTATCATATACTACCCACTTTCTATGCATCAGGCCTTTTAATAAAATAGAGAACTCTAAAAATATAACACTTTTTTTTTTCAGATTCAATTTTTCGGTAATTTCATATTGGATCTGCAAAAAACAAACATCCATATTTAAAATTATATCCAAGCAAAAAAAAAAAAAAAAAAAAAAAAAAAAAGGTAGTGGGGCCTCCAGGCACTTCGTGCCCTCTAGCCCTGAAGATGTTTAGTATAACTTTGTCCGGACAAGTAAGGGACTATCGTCGCTACAGGAAAAGTTACAGGCGTTCCAAGGAAGTATACTTTGAGAAGCCTTTTCTCCTTATAGAATGAGATAGGACGGTTATTTTACAAAACTGACAACACTTTGACCGAGTAGTTTTTTGTGCTGAACAAAAAGTGTCATATAAACATCTGTCAAAAACCGTTTTTTTACTTCACTTAAAATGCCACGTAAGCTACGTAAGAATATACGTAAGAGGAAGAGAGCATTGAAACATCCAGTAAAAACTGACACCACAACAACAGTTGCAACAACAAATGATGATGAATGACCCCACTAGTTGCAACAAATGTCAAGCAACCCTATGCTTTTAAGCCGAGTTTGGTGCACAGAGTGGAGGTTTAAGAGCGGCACTTTAGCGAAAATGGCAGGCTATGGTGGAGCTGCAGACGGAACAGCTTATAACCCTCAAAGTCAAATGAATTTGAGTTCACTCAAAAATCAAATAACAGATGTCAAAAAGTCAAACATAGACATACAGAAACAAATAAGTGAAAACGAAAAGAAACTAGAATATGACAGACACACAAAGAAACTCAATGAGTTAAACGTAGAGAAAAAGAAGAAAGAAGAACAACTGAAAGAACTAAGTACAGAGGAATATGCGAAAAAAGTGTCAGAAAAAGCAGCAGAAGTAGCAAAAATGGAACAAGATGTTATAAATTTGAAAAACCATACTACTCAATATAAAGTACTGAAAGATGAAGAAATAAAACAAAAGCCCTGAAGACATATATGGATAGCGATGAGTATAAAAAAGAAGTTGAAGCAAATGTAAAGGCAGAAAAACTTTTACAGTTGCAAAACCAAACCGTACAGTATGAAAACTTAGCACAAGAAAGTAAAATAACGACGCAGCCATGCAAAAGGCAATGAAAAGCGCAGAATATATAAAAGCTAATAATGACTGGTTAGATGCCCAAGCCAACGCCAAAGCAGCCCAACTTATAGGGTCAATAAGGACAAAAATACAAGCGGATGAAGACAGTTCAAATGAAGCTTTAATGAATGCTGACTTTAAGAACGCCTTCGAAGCTCTTCATAGTAAGGTGAAACTAGTGAACGACTTCTCATCTGGAAAGAAACTGAAGTCTGAAGGTTTCGACAAAGAGTTAAGAAAGTAGCACAAAATATGACGAAAATAACAGATGCAGCAACGAGACAGGCAGTTCAAAGTGCCTATGACGCCGTTAGAGCAACTGTTGTGGAAAGTCAAGAAAAAGAGTTACAACAGACCAAAACAGACTAGTAAATGCTTTCTTAAGAACGAAAAGTCAGGTAGGACATTATGCTGCAGATGGAACATATGTGCCAGCTGGTGGAACTTATATACCACCAAACCCTCCAAGAGAAGCACCTGCACCAGGACTACCTAAAACATTTACATCGTCACATGGACACAGACACAGGCATGCACCAAAACCAACACAACAACCAACACAACAACCAACAGTTCAAAACACTGCACCACAACCAACAGTTCAAAACACTGCACCACAACCAACAGTTCAAAATCCAGCACCACAACCAACAGTTCAAAACACTGCACCACAACCAACAGTTCAAAACACTGCACCACAAACAGAGCAAGGACATAAAAGAAGTAGAGAACAAGGAAACCAAGAATTCTTAAAAATGCTTAAGGAAGATATGGACCCAGATACTCTTGACTTTAGTGACAGATATAAAGAAGCTATTAGAAAGTTCAAGGAAGGAAATACTGACCCGAACCTATTTAGCTTTATGGTTCAGCACCAAATGGGATATAATTTCAACCTGGAAAATACAAGCTCGCTAAGGGATATGATTTAATAGCATATCATCCAAATGACATGACTGAATTTACTCCGAGATATTTGGTGTCAAAGCTAAACGATAATTCAACTCTCTTCATGAAACGCGTAAAAATAGAGACGGAACGAAAGAAGAAAGGTTTATGAGTCCGGATGACTTAGATAGGGAACTTTTAAAACGGTCTCGGAATATATGAAATGCCAGCAGATGAGGTACAAGAAACTCACAGGAAGAAGTTCAGATACAACCAGACATGGAAGAAATAGTTCAGCAACAACAGCTAGAAGAGCCAGAAGGAAACGAACAAGTCCCCTCTTTGGAAACTAACTTCACAGAACTAGATGAAGATTTGGAACAGCCGAAAAATCTTGACCCTCAACAAGAGTATGCGGAGGAATATGGAATCTTTCCAAGAGTCTAAGAAAAATTCGGCTGACATAGTAGAAGAATATCGAAAAATGTTCGCCGACATACAAAAGACTCCAACATCAGATGAAAATATCCAGCATAGAATGGAAAGAACTGAAAGAAAGTGTACACAAAATACAACAATCCTTTTTACTTACGAGCATATAACGTTCAATCTTTGGATGAACTCGGTGAAAATAAAAAGTTAAATTTCAAACAAAACATATAGAAATGAAGCATTGTTTAAAGTTCATTCAGAACCTAGCCAATATGGAAACAAACCTACTTTTGTTTCTGCAGACGATGGAACTACAATGAGATGGGGTCATAAAGCTAATCCGGATAGGTGGTTCATAAACTTACAACCACAATTCCAAGAAGTTGTAGACGCAATGGAAGTGAATGGTGAACCAGATGTAGCTGGTATTTTAGCGCGGCTTTAATGCCATTGAAAGATATGAAAGATGCAGATATTTTGGACCAGTATGAAATGAACATGGCTGATGGAAATATAACACCTGACGTTCTAGAACATTTATCTCAAAGAACTACACAGAACCATAGAGATGGTATATTTGGTGAAGAGTTTAGAAAGAAAGTTAGGGAGAGAGAAGGAAGAGAACCTATTGTACATGACCTTGCAAACGAAAGTTTTACAAAATGTCATAAAAACTTACTTTGCAGACAATGAACCGAGAAGGGATGAATATTTAAGAAAACTCAAATGGACAGTACCAAATGAAATGTTAGTATTGAAAAACATGTTCCTTGACAAAATAAAACCAACTACAGAAATAAATGACGCAAGACTGAAACATTGGGTAAAAGCTTTCCCATTCACAAAAGATTTATTGGTAACATGGAAAGAAAACCAGAATGGCTACAAAAACATATATTTGGAAACGAGCTTATTCCATATGGACAAGCTCTGTTTGAAGAGCTTGAACCGGAAACTCAGGAAAGAGTCATGCAAACAATACGCGAAGACTCAAATACAAACTATGACAAAATCTTTCTAGGATATAGGTTACCTGAGTTGGGCGACCAGAGCCCAAAGGCAAAAAGGACATGGGAAATTTACAACATACTAGGTGAACATGAGGCAAAGATGCAACAACTTGAAGCAGAGGGCAAGTTACCAAAAGCGACACCAAAGAAGAAGAGTAGAACAAAGTAAAGCTTGGTCCGAGTGGGTTCTATTATGATATATAAATCCAACTATTCTATATTTTTACCCATATGAAATGTACGCCGCTCAGAATATAACGCCAACAGTTTTGGATGCCATGAACGGAAATGTTTCCGAATGGTATAACGAATGCGACAATGCCATTAGAAGGTCAGAAATAGTTCCTGGAACTTACGAATATACAACTGCTGTTTCTTATGGAAACGTAGGTGAGTTTGGAGAAGGTTCTTCAACAACAGTAGATATTGCTTGCGACAGGTTTCATATTATTTCTATTGACAACTCATTCTTATACGTGGAACAAGACATTGAAATAAAACCTTCTGCCAAGTTGTCTGACAAGAAAGGTTTTTCAATCATAGAACAGTTCTTTAATCTGTGAAAACAATAAGATACCAAATACTAAAGGAGCACAGCATGATCCCTACATTGTGCTTGCAGTAATCCAAACAAAAAAATAATCAGCTTATTTTCTACCCAAACATAGAAAGAAATATGATGTAATCGAACCCAAATACAAATGAAAGCTCCTCAAGTTTGCTTTCGAGTACTCA